GGCCCTGGCCGAAAGAAATCAGAAATGTATACTCGCTGTGATGTCAAATGTCAATATTTCGTTAGTTTCGCTCAGTATAGTTTTCTAGCAACTGAATTGTCTCTAGGTTTAGAAACAATTATCAATGAAATTAGAATTCAAGTAAGTCACGGTTCTGTATAAAAAATCAACTTTTTCAGGCCGACCCTGGGTCACTTTGCTCAAGGCTATGCTTCAAGAATTTATATTATTTCTTATTGTATAAAAATATGCGAATATTTTGATAATACAAAACAATTCAGCGCAAACAGCTGTAACCCATTTGAACGTCTCAGTTATTTAATCAATGTTATTCCTTTTTTCAGTAAAGCCTGGTTCACATAAAATCGTTAAGCAGTTGCAGACATGTGCCGAATTTTTATATGAACACAAATGCAGATTCGCGCAGACTGTCTGAGACCGGATCGGGAAAGTTGAACTTGGTTCAACTTTCCCGATCCGTCGCAGATCGTTCATATAAAAATTTGGCACATGTCTGCGACAGTCTGCGACTGTCTGCAACTGCTTAACGATTTTATGTGAACCAGGCTTAACAATTAGAAAGGTTCTGAAAATTAGAATTAATTTATATTCTTCTTTCCGACAAGCTTTAAAGGGTGACAAATTTGCAAGTGATAACTAATGTCATTCTTACACGCCAGCAACTTCGAAGAACAGTCTACTGTGTCTCGGAAGTTTCCACACTCAGAAGTAGAAAAGGAACATTTCTACATTATTGCTTACCGTCATTCTCATCTGTCAACATAAAATCTACTGTCTGTCGAAATCGTTTAGGTTTACCTAACGTTGCGTGATCACAAGTTGCGGCTGTAGTAGAAGTAGAACAGCATTATTGTAAACACAGAAACCTCGTGCAATACTGTCTAAGACTACTATTTAATTCAATACAAAGAAAGGGAAATCAGAGAGCAACGAAACATTTCATCGTCATTTGATTGACATGTTTACGCTCAGCGAGTACATTTCTTTCGGTTAGGAGTTTTCCCCGAGATTAATTCGTACATTCTATATAAATATAAAACGAAACTTTATATAACAGTTTAAGGTAAACAAACCAATGAAAATTATGTCTGTAGTATGACTAATTCTGAATTTTCTAATTTCTTTGAGACATTTTATTTACAGGAGGTAAACAAAGCGAATAGAGCGAAGTTCGTATGTCACAATCAGGACTCATGGCATTGAGGCGGGCAGAATTCGAACACACTGGACACACTGGCATTGAATGACTATCCTTGAAGCCAAACTGTACAGTCAAACAATTTCATTCGAGTGCAAAACCAAAGAATAATGATGAAAGACATATATTTACATAATCAAGCTTCATTCAGTGTAGTGTAAGGTGCTTTTATTTGTTAATATCAAGAATTCTGTTTACCGATAAAGTATGCTCGATTTCGACACATTTTCAAATTTTACAAAGTTTGCGCGCTTGTCATTTTTGTCAAATGGTAGAACAGAAAGATATTATTGGCGATTTGTGTTGACTAATGTTAGTAGTTTATAGAAAAGTTAAAGTCATGTGCCAATCAAGTGCCACGATTTTGAAATAAGCTTTCGAATTTGACATATTTTGAGACGATATCCTTTATCCGTTCAGGAGGGTCAATAACTGCGCTGTTTTCTATTTTATACCAAAGAATAATGAACTAAGTCATATCACCCGCGAAAATAGAAGGATAAGTCTATATTTCTGAGCAAAAATTTTGAAATTTAGGTATGAATTTGATTTAAAAAATAGCGCTAAAAATATGTCGATATTGGCCTTCATTCGGAGTATCAAGTTGGTTACCAGTCGATCGAACATCAATCGCCCCCAAAAATAATTTAAAGGAAATTTGAGTAAAATGACATCGATTTTAGTTGTTCCCAAGGATAGATCTTCAAAATACTAGAGTATGAAAGAAATCTATTTTTGAGCCCCATACTGACCTGGAGGTTTTTACGGAGACAGCCTCTTAATTCCCAAGTGTAAAAGATTGTGTGTTTTTCCTATGGTTTTTCTAAAGGCTCAGATTTCTAAAGGTCTTGTATTTTTTATACACCCTGTATACCTACAGTAATTATCAGTCAGTTGTCAATTGTACTGCACATTTTATAATGCACACTTTTATATAGTCATATACAGCAGTCAATCAGAGTATTAAGTTTTACTACGTTACTCAATTTCCATTATTTAATTGATAAAATTCTAAATTGTTTGAGGAATGGAAAATGACACACAGGACTAAAATCTCCTTTGATATAGCAGTATCCAGTGGCATAGCCAGCCAGACAATATGCAAATTCAAAATTATTATCATTATTCATTTCTTTAGAAATTGATTGTTTTCACAGTCAATGAACACAAAAATATTTGCAAGGCGGGACTGAATCGTTGGGCTGGCTACGCTACTGGCAGTATCATACATTGACTTTAGAGATACTCACCAGCTGCTCCGATTCTACATCAGAATCTGTTGTGCAGTTTGAGGATGATCCTTGCGAAGATTGCCTTGATGAAGGGCGACTTTCTTGGGCTGGAATAGAATTTTTCTGAAGGCCACTGCTATTTGACAGTCTGTCCACTTACTTTTGTAACTTTACCACAAGATCTGGTAGAGATGGCATTTCTAAAATGTCTGCAAATTTTCAAAATAAGTACAGGTGTATTGTCAAGACAATAAAAATTGGCATGACATATGCTAATAGTTATATAAGGTAGACAAAAGGCAGAGGAAGTCATAAAACAACATGAACTAAGTGAATACCCTTAAAGTGAACTAAGTGAATACAACAAAGATTTACTACATAGTATTACTGTAGTACCTTTCAGATTATTTATTACAAGATGTAATTGCCTAATTTCCTTTTCCTTCTCTGTTAGTTGTCGCTGAAGGTCATGGTTTTTTGCCTTCAACTCTTGAACTCCTTCATCTTCAGAAACATTAGATTCCTTTGATAAAACATGAAAAAAGAAGTCATTACATCATAAAAATAATTAGGCACTATATGTAAAACAGCTAGGGCTTGAAATTTGCAGTGTCCCATATCCACAGGATATCAGATTTTAAATCTGGATACTGCACATCACAAATGTCAATTGGGATATATTACATGTAAACAAAAACTGATTCCTCAATTTCCACAGAAATTTCCTATGTTTACAATTTTGTCATATTTGTCTAATTATTCACAATGTCTGTGTTTGACATGAAAACCCTGTTTTCTGGCAATTGTGAAAATTTTCAGTGTTTGTCATGTTACACTCGCTACTCTGGTTTAAAAAATATTACAAAGCCCAGTCGAACTGTAATCAAGACCCAACGTTTCGACACTCCAGTCTAGTGTGGCATACATTAGAGTTTTCCCACGCTCTGGGGTTTGGTTACCACTTGCTAGGATGTTAATTATCCAAACATAGGATAGTAGATTCTCTTGGTGGATACTGGATAGTAGATTCTCTTAGTGAATACCAGACTCCAAGTTACAAGTATCCCATTAAATTAGAATAGTGTTGACAATTATCCACACTTACATCTCCATCTTCACTTTCATCTGAAAAACTTGTCTTTTTATCCTGAAAAGATATATGCATTGTATTTTTTAAATTATATCTATGAATTATGACATAGAATTAATATAAAGAATAAGTACTTGAGTGAAGGCCCACAATGAAGGCATTTGGCTTTATTATCATTTGTTGTGGCAACACTGATTTCCACTGATTTCCACTGTTTCCTATATTTTATATTTTGCAACCATCAATACAAGCGGATATATAAAGTTTGGACTGGTTGCAAAATATAAAATTGTCGGCTACACAGATAATAAGATCAACAGCACAACTTCTAAAAACATACCTTTTGTTTGGTTAAATTATATTTAGCCTTCAGAGCCTCCAGCTCGGTAGTTCTTGATGGGCTATCTGAGGATCTAGGCAAATTCTTCTTTTGTCGTTTTCGAGCCTAAAACATTAATTTATTAGTAAACTGACATTCCAATTTGCTATCCATGAAGGCAATTAACATAATATTGTTGTTTGATTTCTTGTTGGGCAAACACACAAAATTGAAGTAGAAATTTCATATGGTTCTATGATGACAGTAACTATAAAGTTAATATATATATACTGACGTGGTGGGTAGTATATCAGTATGTAAGCATTGTATAGACATTGTTGCTCTAGATAGCTGGATGGACCTTAGATTATTAGCACATGCGCACCATATGTATGAATTCAAATACTTATTTCCAACCATCTGACATTACAACATTTGTTGTAAATTTCCAGTAAAAATGTTTTAATTTGTTTAATTTGGAGTAGGTTCAGGGCAATATTAAAAATGCTTATAGTTTTAACTCTTTGAACACTACCAGTGCTGGATTAACCATATGGCAGAAGCGGCATATGCTGCGGGCCCCACGCTTTTGGGGGCCTTGCGCTTACTCTCTTGCAAACTTGAAGCAAACTGTTAAATACTAAAAGATTGCTGTTCAAATTTTGTGTAATGCGGCCGGTTATATATGGATGGTATCCGATGTTTATCTTTTTCCCCTGTAAATAATAATAATATTAATTGGTATAAACTGGGTTGAATTTCAGTTCTATCAAATTACTGATGTACAATCCCGCGCTGATGATATGCCACGGGCCCCGCGGACGGTTAATCCGGCCCTGAACACCACTAATAAACATCTGGGATGGGTAAACAGATAGATATTTTCACTATCTTGTATACAGTACTAACTAGTGCCAGATATTTTGAAGGCATGTAAATCACTTCCATTAACATTATCACTTCCATCATGTTTTGCATTTTCCTGATGTCAGAAAAAAAAGGTAAAAATGTTCATACTATATACAGTATAGTATTGGTAGACAAGGAAATGAAATTATGTGATATTTTATTTGGTGCACCCTTAATACTTGTTGAACTTTGAATCATTAATATCTCACATACTCATTATTTGCAACAAATGACACCCCAGCTAGCACAATTACGTTGTGCCAACGTTGTACGAACGTTCGCCGAACGTGGAGCTAACGTTGGTATTATAAGTTGTAGTAACGTTATTTTGTGAACTCGCAGGAACGTGGTGACAACGTTAGGATCAACGTTAGAACGATTAACTAAAGTCTTTGATTTAATCATTTTATTTAAGGAAAGAGCTTCATTTACAAATAATATAGGCTAATAATACTTATCCAATTTATAGTTTGGATGAATATTGACAATATTATTTAATTCAGTATAGTATATGAACAAGCTTTCGTTGGTAGGGATGCAACTACCTGAACAATCTTATATGACGGAACTTTTTCTAGGCCGCATTTTAGTAATTGACGTACGTAATACTGTCAGTAGCGTCGCCAACCCGACGATTTAGTCCCGCTATGCAAATATTCTCGTGTTCATTGACTGTGAAAACAATCAATTTCTAAAGAAATGAATAATGATAATAATTTTGAATTTGCATATAGCGGGACCAAATTGTCGGACTGGCTATGCCACTAAATACTGTGCTTGAATCACAGTCTGTAGTTTAAATTACAGAATTACCTGAACAATATAAGGAAAAGTTCGATGTTTCGAGTGAAGACCGGCCGTCCAGAGTAAATACGTTGCTACGAAGGGCCTTCGCTCGAAACGCCATAATTCTTCTTGTTCTCGTTATATGTAGTTTGAGATAGTTGCATCCCCACCTACACTGGCACAGACAGCTCAATATTTAATACAGTATACTAATTAGTCATTCTTGGATTTCATTGACAAATGAACGAGTACTTCTGAATATATATCTTCGATTCAAGAGAGGCGCTGTAAAATGTAAATTAATATGGCGTCAAACAAACATGCAGACACATATCAAAATAAATATATTTTGTTCGCCTTTTTTCCGTACATGAGATAGACACATGGAAGTTTCAAATGTTACAGATACAATATATATACTTACATCGAAAACAAAAGGAACGAGCGAGTTCTTCTGAAATATACAGCAGCTTCGATTGGATTACAGAGTCAGCATACATTTCAGTTGCGTCGCAAGCCAAGAGCAATGGTGCAATCTTTTCAATTTGCCCGCGGCGCAAACACTTTACGTATATATGGTCAGAATTACCATATTTGGTGAGTTGTTGATAAGCTGCCAAATACAAAGGCCTACTGTCTGGCTTAAAATCAGTTGGATAAAACGTTTTCAGGACAAAATTTCCAGTAAGAACTAACCAAGGCGACATTCCTCGCGATTCCTGCAGCTGAATAGGCATACGAAGTCATATGGCCTGATGCGGTTTTATACCTATAATTTAACTGTCAGGTTCAATAATAGAAGACATATTTTTAATTTTTTTAGAACGTTGCGAAAATATCAAATCTTAACGTCAAGACGACGTTGTTTACGACATTGTTTTGATGTCATATCCAAACGTTACACATTAACGTTGCTACAACGTTAAAATCTAACATTGCCATGAAGATATCGTATGACATCCTGGAACGTTGCGAAAATATCAAATCTTAACGTCAGGACGACGTTGTCTACGACGTTGTTTTGATGTCACGTCCAAACGTTACACATTAACGTTGCTACAACGTTGAAATCTAACATTGCTAAGAAGGTGTCGCATGACATCCTGGAACGTTAAATTTCAACGTTAAACCAACGTTTACACCACGTGCTCTTATTCCGGATAGAAAAGTAATGTGTGAACGTTGTGTGAAAGTTAAGTTAGATCTAACTTTGCAACAACCTTTTACCAACGTTGTAATAACGTTATGTGCTAGCTGGGACACATAAGGGTTTTTCCATGTGTTGCCCTTCTACAGCATAAGGAAATATTGACTTGTTATGTTGTTGAATTTTTGTGGATTTGTTTCGGAATGACAAACACGAAAACAGGTTATTAAATAAAATAAGACACTAGTAGCAACAATACAAATACCTTTTCTTGTGTTACTTCCGGCTGTCTCTTCCAATTCTTGGTCTGACTCAATATATCTACCATTTTTTTTGGTAGTGCGTTGTCCTCTCCCATGCACAGGGGAGTCAGTTGAACCAGTTGCACAATACCTTTTCGTGTATGCCCGAATATTTTCATAGTCATCTGTTAATAAACAAGCGTAGTTTCATTAGATTGTTATTATTAGCTAATCAATATTAGCTAATAAGCTATTATTAGCCTAAACCCTGCAAAAGGCAGACATTAATTGTCCTAACTGCAAAAAGAAAATGTTCTATGCAATACAGTATATTATCTCTTTAAAAAAAAGTGTTTAAGGAAGAAAAAAGCAGAGCTGTGAACATGCATGGTCACAACAGATATGTGACTTTCCCTTATCATGCCACGGACAGCTTCATCTACTCAAAGTTTCTCGATATAAAATGTTTCATGTAATGTTACCAGGCCACATAGTTATGATTAATAATGTGATTATACAGTAGCCTCGTTTTTATGATGGTATTAAAGGTGGCAATTATCTGGCAAATGTGCTGTTGACAATATGGCTGCATCAAATGTATCATATTACTATATAAAACTGTTTGAAGTGGAAATTTGTTTGTGGCTCCAGCAAAATGTTTCTAAACATCAGCTTTCAAGATTTAAACGACTTAACTTTAGCCTCTTGTGTTTTTATGATGGTATTAAAGGTGACAATTTTATCTGGCAAATGCTGTTGACAATATGGCTGCATCAAATGTATCATATTACTATATAAAACTGTTTGAGGTGGAAATTTATTTGTGGCTCCAGCAAAATGTTTCTAAACATCAGCTTTTAGACATACAAAATAGTCGTATAGACGCAATGCATATATGTTAATGTAGGTTTTGATATATTGGTTAAACAATTTACAATGCCATATATGCTCTGCCATATATGCAACTTGGAAACACGGCCACGGCCATGTTTCTTCTAGTTCTAGACTTCGGTATTTCATTTTCCTAATCGACGAGATTAAACTCACTTATTAATATAAGAAAAGCCAGCAAACACTTACCACTGAATATTATCACTTTCGCCACACAGGTCGTAGTTGGAACTGACATTGGATCAATGGAACCCTTAACGATTTTCTTTGACACTTTCGCAAATTCATGTGGCCATGCCACCATAACTTCTTTTTCTCTGTTCCAGCCAACATTTTCGAATGTACTTGCATCTTCACGACGAATCCAGCATGTTTCGCCAATCTCACAAGACTTTTCATCAACAAATTCAAACAATGCATACTTCATTTTGAAGGAGAAAAAATCGCTATAAACACTATCGAGGTGATATAACCAGTGGATAATTAATATTTGAATTTTGAAACCAACAGATCACCATGAGCCCGCATTCTGATATGTAAATACAGAATGTGTTGGACTTTTGGACAGCGGTTTTGGTTCTATTGAACCCAAGCCTCTGCTCTGTCCGAAGATAAGTCCATGTGACCACGTGATAGCCACACAGATGATGCAACATTTAGTCATTTACATAGACACCGCAACGTGTAGATGTAGATTGCAATTGTAGACGACTTTCTATAATTTTTATCATGTAAAATTCTTTTTATGATAAGAAATAATATGGCCCTTGACTAAGAGCGCAGAACGTTTTTAACAGTATACGTTTTAAGCCACAGATGTCACGTCGAGGACCTTATAAACGCTACGAGTATGATCCTGCTGTGTGTGTTCCGAAACGTACGTTCTATAGGAGAAAACGTCAACATGAGGAGATAGAAGCAACTATCACTATCATCTGTCGTCAATACTACAGATGATAGTGGCAATGAGTGTAATACGGTATGCGAACATATTTATGTTTATTATTGGCTCACGAAACAGATATTATTCAGATATTTATAATCTGTATTAAACTATAGTTAGGCCAATGAAAATTGATATCATGTTTCTCGTCCCTGCCCGCATGGGAATTATCTGCCGCACGAAAATTTTTCATTATTCATTATTTTTGAAAAATAGGCTTAACAAAACACCAAATTGATCTCCAGATCAAAGTCTCATTGCTGCATTCCGCAAGCGCAACTCATTGTATCTTTCTAAAGATATTACTCGCCAGTATGCCTCTATTTTTCATGTCTGCCCTGGTATGTATAGAAATATACTGTAGTCAGTGTAGTGTAGGACGTATTAAATTAAAATGAATTATACACCAATTTACTTCAGATTTTTATGGGGGGTTTTTACTGGGTCAAGGAAATTATTGACAATGAAAAATGAAAAAAATCCCGCTCCAAATTTTTTAAAATTGTGGACGAGAAACATGGTATCAATTTTCATTGGCCTTACTTTTTTCTTGGTTGGCCATAAAGTGCACAGGGGGGGGGGGCACTTAAAATGGCTGTGGGTCAACGATTTACTTGTGGATAATATAAAGGGTCCGTTCTTATGACAGCCTGATTAACCGGGTTGATCTGTCTAGTCGGAATCTGTGTTGTGTTATTATATATTAGGATGTTTTGGGCATCGTCATCCCAAACTTTTAGCAAATTGGCATCCCCCTGTTATGGTGGGAAAATTAGTATGCCTCCACAAGACAATATGTATATATAGATATAATTGCAAGTTTATTATTGCATATTATAACAAAATAAAAATTGTGAAATCCTGCTGCCTGGGCACTTGCATGGACAGGCAAAAGAATTGGGGGCAGAAGATTATTTGGTAATGAGCAGAGGTGTGAGAAACCTTTCAGGGATCCAGAGGCATGATCCCCAACAGCCCAAGAAATTTTGAAATCTAGACTCTAGGAGTGAGATTAAAAATGGTTAAAAACTAAGGATAAATGTTCACAATATTTATGAAAGAAAACCAATCTGATGATGGAGTTGAACTAAACATGCAAATTTAGTCTTGAATCTTCAGTACAGATTGCCCGACTTATTACTATTTATGCCCAAGATGGGGGCTTGCCATCCTTCTACCAGTTCATATTTGATATTCTCTTCAGTTGGACTTTTTTTATTTCATTATATTGCATAGTGAATTGTATGGTAGCATTGTACTGCATACTAAAATATTTATGTTGTCACTCTGTTAATGTTAATGTTACTCTAAAAGTTCTAATATCTCCCCTTGTCTTCCTTTTTATATTTACTTCCCCCCTTTGATGTTGTCATACAAAGGGCAGGGATTTTAACTTTTTTCCCAAAACAATATACTTTATGCATAATAATAATAATAATAATAATAAATATAATAATAATAATAATAATAATAATAATAAAACACTTTATTTAAACAGGGTGACTAGAGTTACACGAAGTAATTTTCATCTAGGCCCTAAGTAGTATACTGTCTATTAATACTAAGACTATAAATACCAATATACAGAGTTACTAAGTCAAAAATATACACATAGGGTTAAAAATGATCGTCACCTGCCAATTTGCTCTTTTTTTGGTGAAGCTAATAAAATTAAAATAATCTTAATAATTTGTTTTGTAGAGATTCGGTGAAAGAGCTTTGAGAGAAGAGAATCTGCCTGCAGTTGAAGAAATTCTGCCTGCAGTTGAAGAGAATCTGCCTGCAGTTGAAGAAAATATTCAAGATGAATGTTTTCAGGTAACCCTTCATTAATATTTCATATTTGGGGTTTAGAACTACAATGTTACACCGCACATGTTTGATGTAGTGCTGTGCACCGGAGTTCTGCCGGAGCTCCGGCGGTTTTTTGACGTCCGTGCTGGAGCCGGAGTTACATTTCCCCAACTCCGGCAAAATGACAAGAAAACAATTGAAATGAGACAAATGTCAAACGATTGTTACTTACTGCAAACTGCCAATTGCTGTTAAACATCATGCTTTCATGAAGCTATCTGACTTAGGGGCCATTCACAAAGGATGTCCGGCCAAATGATGGATTTTCAGACCCCCCTCCCCCCCCTTGTCCGGCATTGTCCGAATTAGTGACCTCCTCCCCCCGGACATCCGCCATGCCTCGCAAAAACTCATGCAACCTTGTATATATCAAGAGTAAAAAACTTTTTTTACTTTTAGAACTTTTTTATAACTGTAAATGTGAACACAAAAACATATAAATTACTAATTAAAACAAAATCTAGTGTTAACCGCATAGTCAAAAGGCCAATTTCACAATGGGAAGGACTGCTTAAAATAGAGGGGAAAAGAAATTTGTTTTTGAATTTTTTTAAATTTCGGATATCCGGATTGCTAAAATATGTCCGAGTTTGTCCTGGCTCGGACATCCTTTGTGAATGGACCCTTAGCACTACATAGTCACATAGTCTTAGCGCTATACATAGTCGCTACATGTGTATTCATGCCTTGTAGATAACGAAAAAGTACAAAACAAATAAATATCAACCTTTTGAAAATGACAGAGTACTTTGTTTGCGTGCGAACAATTGCGCTGTGGAGTCTGAGAGTGTTAGTGTCATGCTATATAAAAATTGCAACGCTATCAAAGATTTTTTCAGGCTGGTTTCCATATAGGTATTTTCTACGTGGTTAAGTGTTTTCACTGTTTTGTTTCCTGAGTTATGTTATCTGATAATTAGGAAGTGCGAAAAGGGTTATTCATAATAATATTAATAAATGTTCTCAGATCGTAAAACATTTATTTAATATTTTATGATGTGGCTGGAGCCGGAGCTCAGGAGCTATAATTTGGCCGGAGCCGGAGATGAAAAACCGGAGTTTGCACAGCACTAGTTTGATGTAGATATTAGGTTTATGTAACTGTCATCCTATAATAATATAATATTGTGTTTTCTGTTGGGATATATAGGTTGGAGATTCAACTGATGATGGAGAAACAAGTGAATGTGACACAAGTAATATCAATGACCACAATGAACAGGTAATTTACATCACTTTATATTGTGTGTCATGCAGTCCAACCATAGCATTCATGTTATACTGTATTGTATTTTATGCATGTGTACAATCATCGCCATCCATCATCAAAGTATACAATAATGAAATTTTGGAGTGTGACAACCTCACTGTAATACCTGCTAAATAAATCATCATTCATCAAGTTGTTTGTATGCAAAACAGTTCTATACTGTGAATGCGTTAATGTTAGCATAATGATATTAAAATAGATATATGACATGATGATGGTCAATGATAATAACCTTGGTCTGTATACAGAATAGAACACAGAAGAAAAAAATTATTTTTTAAAAGTTCAGAAAATAAGACGTAAACCAGGGAGCATGCCTGGCAATTTTGTAGGGTTTAAGTTGTAAATTGTAATATTCTATCTGTATATATTTCTTGTTAACATATTAACCTTTCATTGTTTTAGAACTATGCAAATGACAATAATCCGATATACCCTGGTGCAGATGTCACAAAAACTGAGAGCCTTCTTCTAATAATGTGCTTTGTGCTGAGACACAAACTTACAGATGTGGCTTTAGGAGATTTGCTGTTGTTATTAAACACTTTTTTTCCAAACATCGTTCCAGCTACCAAGCACCTGTTTTACAAATTGTTCAAGCTAGAGCAGTCAGAGGTTTGTACATGCATTTTGGATAAACGTGGTGGCACACAGATAACTTAAGTTTCACTGAAAAGTTAAATTAATACTGGATGGTGCCTCAAGACCTGTCAGCTAAGCTCATTAGGCCACTTAAAAAAAAACTTGGTGATCATCCCCGCCCGCCTACCATAAAAGGCCCCGCTCAGTTGTTTTTTTTAATATCTTTGTCGACATTAAAAAATAATTTCCATGCCTTTGCAACTGAAAACAATTGAAAACCACCAATCTGTTAGATACTGAGATACTATGCAGAGAGGTTAAGAGTGAGATTGGGGATGTGGATGACACCTTTGTAAAAGTCCGGGGGTCTGAAATGGCATTTTGTAGCTACATTATGAGAGTTGGCCATGGTCTTTTTTAATGAAATACGTCTTTGCTTCGTAACGTCCTTTAAGACAAGGCACTTTAATTACAATAACTTACTGTATTTCTGTGACATACAGTAATTTGCCTTTGATAATTTACATATAGAATTCTGCTCCTACTGATTCTGCCTTTTGTCTGCCTTTTACATATGCGTGACCACAAAGGATGACCACTATTTTTTTTTTAAGTGGCCTTATCTTTAGTTACTACCCTTCTCTACACTACCAATACTGAACTTAATACATTTTAAAGTGGCTGTCCAAAATAATTGAAAGACAATCCTAGATACAGCTTGCACATGCTGTATTGTACATGTCATGTATTTGTACACTGTAGAGACCTGGTATAACTGCCATTATTTTTGTCATTCATTCAGACAATTGACTTAACATTGTTTAATTCTTTACAATTCTAGAAGCACTTCTACTGCTCAACATGTACTTCTTACTTGGGTAAGGATACTGCAATGGCAACCTGCAAGTCTTGTGACAGCCCATTCAATGAAGGTGATAGTTTGAAGAATGGACATTATTTTATTTACATTCCTCTCCAGCAACAGATTAGAACATTACTCTCAAATGCCAAACTATATCCACATTTAACCAATAGAAATTTAGAAGTTAGCATTCATTCAAGAACTGTAACTGACGTGACAACATCTGCTTTATACAAACAACTCATAACTAAACAGGGTCTCAATTCAAATGACATCTCATTGACATGGAATACAGATGGTATTCCTGTATTTAACTCTTCAAACTTTTCCATATGGCCATTACAAGCTTTTGTGAATGAGCTCCCCCCACATCTACGTGCCAAGAATATCTTGTTACTTGGCCTATGGTTTGGCAAGAAACCAAGTATGAATGTCTTCTTGAAACCATTTGTTGATAAGTGTAGCAGGTTAGAAAGAGATGGCTTTGTTTTTGGCAGGGAGGTAAGACCAAGAAGAGTATTTTCTCCACTTTTATCTGCTGATGCACTGGCTAGGGCTATAGTTCGAAATGTTAAGCAATTTAACGGTGAGCATGGGTGTGATTGGTGTGAGTTTCCAGGAGTAGCTGTGGCAAATAACAATGATCCACCTACTCGTTATTACCCCCACAGAACACCTGTTATCATGCGCTCCGCTAGAAAGCAAGCAGAATATGCATTACTTGCCACACAGGCCAATCCTATTAAAGGAGTAAAGGGAATGACAGTAGCTGATTTATTACCTTCTTTTGATCCTGTCAGAGGCACAGTTACAGATTATATGCATTCTGTTCGTCAAGGGGTCATGAAACAAATGATGGGTCTATGGGTAGATACAAAGCACCATGGGGAAGACTTCTACATTGGCAGTAAGGTGAAGTTAATTGATGAGCGCCTTCAGCAAATTAGCCCTCCAAGTGAGATACATAGAAGTCCCCGTAGTCTTTCTGAGAGGTGCTATTGGAAAGCATCTGAATGGAGAGCTTTCATCTTTTATAGCCTGATCGTCCTTCAGGGAATTCTTCCTCGCCGTTATCTACGTCACTTCTTTCTCTTTGTCTATGGGATTTATACACTTTTAGGTGACTCAATCTCTAGTAGTGAAATCAATCTTTCTGAGGTTTGCCTAACAAAGTTTGTAATTCAAATGGAGGAGTTGTATGGTCTGTCAAATTGCAAATATAATGTTCACTGTTTGACTCACCTGGCACATTGTGTCAAGGACTGCGGTCCACTGTGGGCTACTTCTGCATTCACCTTTGAATCTCACAATCATGTGCTTATAAATATGTTTAATGGGACACAATGTGTTCCACAGCAAATAACAGATACATTTTTGCTGAAAGCCAAGGTTGCATCCTTGACTAGGAGTTGTGTTGATGGTGATTCTTGTGCCTCTGTGAAGGAAGTACTTTCTAAGCTGACTGATGACATTAGGTTTAAGCATCAGAATGATCATGATGGTTTAACTCCATTAGGTTCTAAAAAATCTATTACCTTAGATGTACGTAGGATAATTGCCCTCGAACGCCTCTTAGATATAACTGTGAGTAATCAAGTTGGGATTATTCATGAAAGGTTTATTTACAACCACCAGTTATATTCTAGTGTAAGCTACACCAGATCCAAACGGCACACAAATCACTGTGTGTCTGTTAATCACCCAGTTTTTAAATATGGAATGATTTTAGGTCTCTTAAATATCAAGCTAGCTTGTAATTGTACTCTGGATATCTCACAGTATTGTCAATGCTTAATGCATAGTGTAGTTATTGTGAAACCTATGAAAGTGAGTGAGAGGATACTATTCAAGGATGCAGATTTTAATGTCAGCAGTACATTTCTTGTGCATGTTGAAGATACTGATTCTGTCATTGCAATTTATCCTTCTCAAATTGAACGGAAGTATTTGTTTAAACTCAGCTAAGACTTGGAAGGTCGCTCCAACAGGAGGTCTAAACTTTTGAAGCACAGCCATGCCATCAAAAATTGTGTTTACATGGTGTGGATATACCTCAGCGATAGGTACATCTTTCTCCAGTCTATGAAGAAGTGTCGATTTGTTTGTTTTTCTTGGAAATCCATATGCATCTGATGACCAAGGAAGTGGACCGAGAGGAAACGTAAAAACGAGTTTCAAATCAATTTTCCTGAATTGTCCGAGGAGTGCCATTCTGGCAAAGAGATTTCTTCAAATTCTTGAATGTTTTGAGATTTGCTTTCTTTAAGGGATCAAAGAAATCCAGAGTTGGAGTAGAAGAGCAACGGTTACTAACGAAATGTTCGCATGCTTTTAGTGCAATGTTCCTTGCTTCCAAAAGATCTTGTCGCACAGCGTCCGTTGCTTCAATTCCACTCGACAAGCTTATTAACTCTTCACCACACCAAGGAATTGTTAAGATGTTACTCAATACATCTATAACTTTCTCCACGTCTTCGGTGTCTTTCTTCATCCGGGATTTGGAAAGTTCTTTGTGACTGTAACTTTCAGGTTTGAATGAAAGATGTTCTCGTAAAAGCTTTCTGTAAACTTCACGCTAAAACCAATATATCCGCCACTTGTCTTGCAATCACGATTTATTGTGTTTTCGATTGTTTTATCAGCTTCATTACCCCCAAATCCGTTCGTATGACTCATCTGTACAGAAAATTAGCCACTCAAGAATGCACTGTAAACTTTGGGTTTGGAGGATTGTAATTCTCGCATGTCGTTCAAAAATGGAATCAGATACCTTGCATAATTTAGCCTATCGTAGGCAAACGCCCAGGCTATGACTTCTTCAATACATGCCAAATATAACTCCCAATCACCGGTATGTGTAGCAAAAATCAGATTGAGCGCAAGCTCACAGAGGTGGAGGTAGGATAGCCAAAACTTTACCAGGTCGCTGCCATTATCCTTTAAATCTTTGATATAATTCTCGAAGATTCATCACTTTTAAGAACATTCTCAAAATTCTCTTGACTCATTTTAAGTTTAAAGTTTTCCATGGCAGTCAAGTGGTTTTCCAAAATGATTTTATCTTCTTCACTTGACAATGATCCTTCAAGCTTATTTACAAGTAACTTCATCAGCAGTTCATAAACAATCTTGTGTAGACGTACAGCCCTGTTATAATTTTTTTTGTTGAGTACACTATCAATTGACCGTCCTGCAAACAAGTCACTCTGAATTGCAACCTCGCACAAACCGGCATCACCAAATCTAGCTCCAATCACACCAAACAACATCATGAGAAGATGAAATCCACCAAGCATTATGATCAAATTTTTGAACATGTCTTTGTGTTTCCAGTAAATTTCCATTGCTTTAGCATAAAAAGCTTGGTCAAAAACGCACGCAACTGCACACAGGTTTAACCTTTCCCTTATTTCACAGCCTCTGCATAACACCTCGTATGCCGTTTTCAAATCCGTTGCAGGCGAATCAATAGTATCCAGGTATGAAATGACACTCTCCACAACAATACCATTTCGCACGATAATATTGAATCCAGTCCAACCGGGTACGAGCAAAAATGGATGAGTTTTAAGCTTCCTGACTTCTATCCAAACAAGATACTTCATTAGCTGCCTATGCAGTTTTTCAGTGTATTTATCACTTTCACAGATATTCTTTACATGTACCAGCTCACCTGGACCAACACGTTTTCCACCATAGTAATCAGATATTTATTTGGCTACAACACTTGTAGGGAGAGAATGTATGCATATCAAGCATTGACTAAAGAAGCTTTGCAAAAATTGCTTTTCAATTTTACGCAATAACGAAAATCGCTTTGCATTTTGCGAAGTGTTAATTCGGACCCTGAGGTTGCTGAATATTGATGTTTGCGCATTGTAATTCTGTAGTCTGGCATTTAATATATACAAAAAAGTAATTAGCACTTATTAATTTTTGCGATTTTGACGTTTGTGAGTTTGTGCCCCAATTTGCTGTACATCGCTGGAAAGAGCGTGAAACACTGCACAATATAGTCAAGTTCGGGAACAATTGAGAAAGCAGATTTTGCACAAACACTTGCAGAGTATAGATGATTGCACAGTGTAATTATACGAACAAAAGCAATTAGCACCTTAACGAGATAGTGTCAACCATGGGATTTTATTAAATAAACTAAAGGTCATTGGCCTTTCTCCATCAGCCATATCATGGTTTCGAAGCTACCTCTCGCACAGATTTCAAGCAGTACGAATAAACTCAACCCTATCAGACACACTTCCAGTTGGTTATGGAGTGCCTCAAGGCAGCGTCCTCGGCGCTCTATTATTTAATATTTATGTGAACGATCTGCCAACAGTTATGAAGTTGCGCAAAAGTGAATGTTATGTAGATGATTCCAAGCTACTTCTATCCTTTGCAGTATCTGACCTTGAAACAGCAAAAGATCTGATCCTCTCTGATTTAGAGAGAGTACGTAACTGGTGCTTTGATAATGTCTTACTACTAAACCCAAATAAAATAAAGCTGATGGTGTGTGGAAGTCGCCAAATGCTTGCCAGAGTGCCTGGTTTCCGCCTCCCCTTTTTGGGTAAAGAACTTGTACCATGTCAAACAATTAAAGATCTTGGCGTAAAATTTGACCCTATCTTATCTTTTGATGCACATACAACATTAAATGTACCATCTTGCATGTCAAAACTAGGTCAGATCAACCGAGTAAAACATGCCTTCAATTCCACCCTTTTAACCACCATTATTCATAAGCTATTCTACTCCTCCTCTGTTTTGTCAACTACCTCTGCTGGAAATATAGCCCGATTGCAGCATGTACAAATTTTTGCAGCCTGCATCATCAGTGGTACCAGGAAGTTTGATCATATAACACCTGTATTGAAAACCTTAAAGTGGCTTCCCATCAAAACACAACTATACCTGAGGGATGCAATTTATGCATTCAAATGTATAACTGACCGAGCACCTGGCTACTTGACAACGCAGTTACCAGACAGGAAATCTCTGGCTGTGTGACCTGCAACTCCCAACAATTAAACATTTCTCATTTTAGAACTGCGACTGGACAGAAATCTTTTTCATACAGAATAATTTCCATATGGAATTCACTAGATAGTAATCTTAAATTATGTAATGACACTCCAGCTTTTAAGAGAAATCTTAAGAAGAAACTTTTAGGACAATTTCTAGAATCATGATATTTTGGATACGTAAAGCATACACAGGATATTCTTTCATAGCTTATAGTAGTTCATAAATTAGTTCTTTGTACATATATTTAGATATATTTGGATATATTTTATGTAGGATCACTGAAAAACCCCTGATTGGGGAGGGTTCATTAAATTTCAATTCAATTCAATTCTTGCTATTTCGACGTTGGTGAGCTTGTGCCCCAATTTACACACGAAATACTGCACAATATAGTCAAATTTCAGAACAATTAGGAAGACAGATTTTGTGTGAACACTTGTGGAAATATTTGCACAGTGTAATTCTATAAACAAAAGCAATTACCACATTTTTCTTTACCTTTCGCAATTGCGTGCAATCCACAATCTTATTAGCTGTAAGGGTCAAGTATATAGACATCTTTTATAATTCCTAAACTATATTGTGCAGTATTTCACATGCTTTCCAACCATGCAAAGTAAATAGTGGCACAAGCTCACAAACGTCGAAATCGCAAGGATTAAAAAAGTGCTAAACATCAACCCTTTCCGTTTTGACATTGGTGAGCTTGTGGTGAATTTGATGTACATCATTAGAAAGAGCATGAAATACTGCACAATATAGGTGAGTTTAGGAACAATTGGGGAGGCAGATTTTGCACAAACGGTTGCTGAATATTGATGTTTGCGCATTGTATTTCTGTAGTCTGGTATTTAATGTATACAAAAAAGTAATTTCCATGTGTAATCCTATACTATCAGTCTATCCTTGCGATTTTCTGATTATGTTTCTTAGCTGTGTAGATCATTGGTAAAACACTGTGCAATATATGTGACCTTCAATGCAATTGGTAGTGTGGAATTTGCAGAAGAATGCTAACGCTTCGTGGTGATAGTTGTTTACGTGGTCTTACAGACCAATATTTAATACCTAGACTATGCAATTATCAGTCTCACAAAACTTGTGCTGCAACATGGTGTATATGAATGGAGAGATTGGAAAATAGTATACAACATACTTGACTTTCAAAGCAATTGGGTTTGGAGATTCCAGTTAAATTGTGGCTGAAGATGGACCTTTTATACTGACAATATATATAATGGTTTCGCACAGTGATACGTCTCATATAACATGAAATGCTTTCTGCTGTTATAAATTCTTTTTTATTGGAAAGAGGGTAACTCTCTCCACTTTTAATCCAATTTATATGAATGATAGTCATAAATTTTGCAATAATATTGACTTAATAAAGTATACTGGAACATATTGACATGGAAAATCGGAGGTTTTTGTGCTTGTGCCATGTTATTGTTATTACTGGTGGAAGCAGAATGACATATGTACATTATAATTAAATTTTAACATCAAGTTTGTTGAATTTCGTCAAATGTCGAACATTTATTAATCTATGACATATAAAATCGAACAATTAAATGTTCAATTTCTCCCATAAAAAAGCTTCTTTTCCTATTTTTTGCACAGCATACGATAGATATGTTGCATTGCTCATGTTATTTCCAATTTAAAGTAAAAAATACCTAAAAAGTAGCCAGAAAAAGGGTTAAAATAATCTACTTTTGAACGGCCATGTTGGTGTACCAAATTTCCTGCAAAATATTCCCGCGAAATGCAAATAATCCTGCATTTCCATATTTTTAAAGATTATTTTGCATGTGTTTTATACAATATGAGTTTAGAACATAATTATATGTAAATAAGAGTCCCATACCTTTATCGATTATGCTAAAAAGCTTGAACCAAAGGTCAAGACAGGGGCGGATTCAGACCGTTGCAACCGTAGCATATGCTACGGTCAGATTTTCCCACAGATATATTTTTCCAGGGTGTACCTTTTTTAAAGTTATTAAAAACTAAAACGTTATTCTATTTTTAATTGCCGATATTTTCAATTTTTCATTGAAACTTGGTGCAATTTTTTTCAAATGTACTAAATCATATTGATACAATTTTATCGAGTTTTTATTTCATTTTGGATAATTAAATTTGGGTTTTTCTCAAATTTCCGCCCAAAGTACTGCCTGTATTTGCGGGTTTTGGACTAGTACTATATCACATTGTCCTGAAGTCATAGGATTTGCTTCATTCTGATTGGCCTGGTTTAATTGTAGCAAACCAATCATAGCACTGTATTTGGAAATTTTTGCAGTGGTCAGTTTGAGACTGACCATTGCAAAAATTTTCAAATATGGCGTGCTGATTGGTTTGCTACGGTCAGACGAAGCAAGCCAATCAGAATGAGGCAAAATGCTACTGTTTGCAATAGTCGCATCGACTTCAGAGCGATGCTGGCTTGTTATTGTCGTGTCGGCTCCTCGTTGTAATCGAATAGTCAGTAAATTTTAATCGCCGCTCGTTGCAAGGAGAAAGATATGGCTGTTTATATTAACTCATTAACGCCCAATGCGCCCGTATGCGCCCTGAGATTGACAAGTGGGTAACAGACAATGCGCCCGAATGCGCCCTGGCATGACACCTTAACTTGCGGGCATGATATTTGAGCACGTGTTTATTGGGTTGCCTAGCAACGGATACGAAAATAGAACGTGAAATTCGAGCTTTTCAACGGTGTATCATGCAAGAGAATCGGTCAGAAACTCGCAAAGTTTTTCAAGTTTAAAATCTTAGTTTTCCAAAAATAATGAATAATGGCGATTCTGTTACAAAGAAAGAATTTACAGCAAGTTTTAAAAGCAAGAAAAGAAGAGGTTTCTGAATCAACTACAACGAAAATTTGGCATGAAAGGAAAGCAAATGTATTGACGTTTTGGGGCCAAGTTTTTCTGTGAACCATGCGCGAGATTTTCAGCCAAAAAGATGAGGATTTCTCCAAACTTTATTAAAAATAGAAGTCGGAATTCACAAGAAAGATGAACACGGAACACAAGTGAGCAGATACGATTTTTTAAAGGGTATTTTTGAGTAGAAATATGCGATCAAACACTCACAAAATTCGACTGCATTAATGTTGGTTGAATCCAGTTTAAAGTTATCTTTTTAGATGAACTGTTTATGCAAATTTGGGCACAATTTCGACTGTTTTCGTAACCCCATTGTTGGTCTTCTTGTTCAAGTTGTTATTTTAGCTAAAGTATGTTTCAAACGACACCAGATTAAATTACTGTGTGCGTACGTGCCCTATTCGGCAAGAATACTTCGAGTATTAAATTACACTAAGTAAGTAGGGTACTCCAAAATCACTGTTATATCTATTTTCATCAATTTAGTCTTAAAATGACAACTCGTTTCAGACATATTGTGGTTTGAAATAAGTGTATTGAATTAATGCGCTTGCTTGCCGCATGCGAATTCTCAAAAAGTCCGCACTTGAGTTCTAAAGCTTTTAAAATGCTTTTTGTATTGGGTTTTATATCCCCATAAAACTTTAAATCGATAAGGCAGATATTTTGTGTTCAATATATAGACCACAGTAAGACTTTTTTAAATGTTTATTTCATTAACAAACGACGTTTCGGAGATTTACTCCATCTTCAGGTAGGATTACAATTTGAATTTATAAATTAATCTAAATTCAAATTGTAATCCTACCTGAAGATGGAGTAAATCTCCGAAACGTCGTTTGTTAATGAAATAAACATTTAAAAAAGTCTTACTGTGGTCTATATATTGAACACAAAATATACTAATAACATGAAACTTAGGGAAAGTTCGTTCCTAAACATTTTGATAAGGCAGATAGTAATGTTGATCCAACCTCATTTTCTAGTAACTACATGTTGAATCAGAAGGAAAAGTTATCAAAATTTGGTCGCGACGGTTGTTTGCCGTTGTTGTCGCTTCTCTCTGAAATGGCTTCCTTTGCGGGAAGCCATGAAACTGAAGTCCCAACAAAAACATAATTTAGCCGTCCTTTCGGGCCCATTGCTCGCTTATTTATCATGAAATCGTTTCACTAGAACATTTTTAATAATGTCTATGGGAAACTTTGTAATTTTCTGAACTAAAAGTTTATGGTTTTGAGGTGTTTATTTTATAAAATAGCACGCGCGACAAAATGGCACTAATGTGGTTTCTCATGTCTGACAAACAACCAAAGATGAAAGTCCTTATTTCACCCTTGTATAGCTATGTTGAATACCTGACTATTAGGTTATCTTTTTCATTTGAGCATACAGATAACATTTCTACACAATTAGTCCTAATGAAAGCTTATTTCAAACTAAAAAAAAACGATTGTTTTTCAGAGCCAGACTTCAAAAGAGAACGCGTGTCTGACATTTTATAGCAGCCTACATTGGCGCGCAAAATAATTTTGGCTAAAAACCGTTTCTTTCCAAACAGAAACATGAGAAAATTGAGCTAAAAGGCTTACCTGATGTATGTTTAAAATGTTTTTCTTTTTATGGTGTTTTTCAGTGCTTTGAGTAGAGAAGTGAATAACTTTTGGTTTTGTCACCGCAATTTGCCTTTGAAAATGTCGGCTGTCATTGTCTGTGTTAAAAACACCTCAGAAAATTCCTATTTTCTCACCTTCCCATCCTTGGTTTATATTGAAAACAAGTAGATTCTAGTACCGTATGTCCTTTTGAATATATTTGAGGTAATTAAAAACTCCAAAGATGTACAAGCACTGTGTTTTGGCTTGCACACTTTGTTGAATTTTAACACTTAGTTACTGTTCTAAATTTCATGTTGTAAACATCTTGCCCAAAAAAGCAAAGGAGTATTTTTTATAATTTTTCATCATTTTCTAATTCATATCCCAATAGATGAAAACTGGTTATAATATAGATATGTACTAATTTAGTAAATAATTTTTTTTTGGTTTTTATATAAATATATGGAGATATTGCCCCTTTAGGTGATGAGTGACATGAAAAAAATAGTGTCACTGGTTTACAAATAAAAATTCTCATTGAAAAAACTAATGATATATATAGGTATGGAAGTTCATTTAAACTAAATTTGGTCAATCATATATTAATAATATTTGGTTGAAAAGACCAGATTTTTTCATGCAACTGTTTCTGAGATATTGCCATTTTGGTGAAAGCTCTTGAAATCAGTCACGTATTCGCCATATTGCTTGCACGTTAGGGGGGTAGAAACATTGTAACAGCTTGCGCGTTAATGAGTTAATAAATATGTAAGTAATGTTATATCTTAGACTTTGCTCATGTAATTATTAGTTGTAGATGAAATTTATATAAATAGTTACACTCCGATATATTATATTGTAGTTTACATGTATACTAACAGAGTTTAGAATTACAACAGCTGAGCCTGCTTCCTGGGATAACGTATCATAAATATATGGTTAGATGTTTCAAATCCATGTATTGTATACCTTACTTGTATTAAAATTCGAGTCGTATACTCATTTTCGTTCAGCTTTAAATTCGTGCATTCCAATTTTGCGAAACTTGTTCGTGCAGCTTTAAATTCGCGCAAGTAATTTTTCGTGTTGGTTCCTTTTGGTTTGTTTTAATAATAGAACAATAACAACAAATACTTCAATATTTGTCAAAACAAAATTCATGATAACAGTAAAGCGTATAAAGTTCAAACCTCAAAATGTACGGTTTTCATTTGCCTAATACAATAACAATAATAACTAATTTTTATTAGCATCCCATATATTATAGGTTCATACATGGTATTGTCTTACATTATATTATTTACTAACAACGAGTGAATATTACACCGCAAAGCTTTTCGCGCGGATTATATTTCCCGCAGTACTAAAATTTGCGCACCAAGCTCCGCGCGAATTCTTGCAGTTCTGCTCGAATTTTAGTACAAAAAACATATACAAATAAACATTTTTCCTAATTGCCGTTGTGCTGCTGTTTCAAGATGATCTACAAATAAACATTTTTCCTATATTAACTTGGAGGTCATCTATATACAGTACAGAAAATATTTTTCCTGACTGCCATAAGTTGTCCTGCTGTTTCGGGATGATCTATATATGCTGCTTGGCTAGGTAAACATTTTCCCTAACTGTCGTTGGGCCGCTGTTTCAAGATGATGTACATTTGAAAACTTTCGAACTACTGTTATCTTACTTTTTGAAGATAATCTGTTGTTCAAAGTGGTATGTTGATGAATAAATTTTGTAACATTTTGTGCGTTTTTTTCTTATTTTTGTGTGAAAAACAGGCACTTTTCTACAAATTTTAAATTTAATTTCGATGCTCAGAATGCAGGAAATGGTACTTGCAGGCTTCAAATTTCAAAAATTTTCTTGGGGGGCATGCCACCAAACCCCCCTAGGTAGGGCGTGGCCTTCGGCCCCGCATGTTGATTTCATCCAAGAAGCACTATGAAGAAAAAATCTCTGACAGGAGTCGACCCAATGTTGATCGAAGGCAAGTACTTTCAACCCGATTGTTTACCTCCAGTAGAATCAACAGATTTACTTTTTTACCTGGTGTTAGAAACAAGCTACTACACAAAGCAGCAGTTTAAAGCATTTCGAAGCCTCGAAGCTTACAATCAAATGGTGTGTGGCTTTATTATGGGTGTACAAGGGCATATGATGGGAGGCAAGTGACAATCAAATCAAAGCCATGTGCAAGTGACAGACTTCTAAAATGCCTCATCAAGTCTTGTAACAATGGCAAATTTTTTCATCTTACCTGCCTAAAATACAAGAGGATGCCAAATAACAGTCAGACCACATGGATTTGCCCTGGATATCGCAAAAGCAGCAATATTACAAAATCCTCCAAAAATAAAGATGATATTACTTTTGTTAAGGTTGTCCACAACCCACCTGAGAAATACAAGATTATTGAACACCTAAGTCAAAAACAGTTTGAAATCATCATGTCTCCCACAGGTTGGTTAGATTGTACCACTGTACAATCATTGCTTAAACTCTTTTTGAGCAACATCAACCAAACAATAAAAAGATTTCAAAGACCAACACTTGACACTTGTAAACAGTTTGACATCATTGTGCGTGGGGTAGTTCCTCGGGTAGAGGAGAACTGGTCAAGTGATCAGCTAGTTGTGTTGTTTGTGGCATCAGATATAACCCAATCCCTATCTCTAAGCCTAATCCTTACCCTAACCTCAACACTAATCACTATAACTAACTGATGACTGACTGAGTGTTTGAAGAATAGAAGCATGCAGCTTTTTTCCAACAGTTTAGAAAACTATTCTGATGATTTATGGTACGAAATATATCAAATTCAAAACATAACTTTGTTATAAATATGTGAACTTTTACATTTTATCATACATGATCGTATAGAACCCCCCAGATCTCTACATGGAATTTCCAACACCCTGTTTCCTACCATGGAAACTCCTTTTTTATTCTATTTAGGCAGACCTGTCGCTCAGAAATTAAGTGGTGAACACAATGGCAGGTGACATTTAAGTTAACTGTTGTATTTTTTCAATCAAAGGGAACAATTCCAGGGCATAAATTAACCAAAGCAGAACATACTTTTATTATTCGGTCAATCATTGGTGTTTGACTCTTCTTGGGATCCCTTGGGATTACACATCAAAAAATCAATTGGGAGGATTCCATCTAGAATAGTGTATTTCCTTCGAAGGAGACCAATTACTCGCTCAACATGAATCCTTACATTAGCAATCCCTCTAGTTTTTTCAATGTCAACTAGATCTAGTTGGTCCTTGCCCCATGTAAAGGCAGGAATTGCTAAATGGGCATGTCGGGACATTAATGATTCTTGTATGGTGAACCCTCGATCTGCCATTACAAGATCCCCAGGTAATAACTTATCCATTAATCCACAGTTATCTGTCATAAACTTGTCGGATGTTCTCCCTCCCCAAGCTTCCAATACAAATGAAATTGTGCCTTGTGGAGTTATCCCAATCAAAACCTTCGCAGTGTTGTGGCTTTTGTATGAGGAATATGTCTGAGATCGAGCAAGAAGATTCGAAGGTCTGTCGTTAAAAACTTCAAAGCAGTCGATTATCACAGTGGTTTTATGTCCAAATGAAAACTGAAAACACTGTGGCATAGTTCACAACAAGTCTTAACACTCCGGCCACTTGATCAATGGTGATAGCCTTACATCCATAACTAAATTCTTGAAACAGTAGGTACAGAAATTCCAAACCGGTTAGCAAGATCTTCAAATGGCATATTTAGCCTTAACTTCATCAAAGTTAAAACAAATTCCTCGAAAGGAGTCAATCGTACAGTCTTACGAGTTACAAATGGCAATATTTGACGGAAAACTGTACTCAAGATTTCAAATGAAGGTAGTCCAGTATAAAAACTTACTTTACTATCGGCTACGCGAAAATTATCCTCGGAAATTGGGCTCTGTGATTGCTGTTTGGTGAATGAATATTCAAATTCTTCTGTTTGTGTACTTGCCTCGCTGAAGCAGATATCCGAAATAGGTTGACTGTCTCCATATTCTAACTTGGCCTTCTTTGCTGCGACTTCTTCCAAACGCAAGTGTTCTCTCTCTTGTTCTAGTCGCAGCCTTTCCTTCTCGTTCGTTCGTTTCCCCCTTTGCTCTGCCTGCTCAAGATTTGCTGTTCGTACACTCTTGTTATGGCCAAGATTTAGTGTGGGTACCCAGTCATATTATATCTGTCCCAACTCTTCGCTGCTTTTCCAGACACAGAGTGTTTGCTACATACACGATCGTTCTTTAGGGTGCTTTCGGTACACTCATCTGTACTTATAGCCGAAATCCAACGCAAGCGCCTTTCTTTTGACAATTCTTCTGCTTCTTTTCCTTCTTTAGTAAATACCGAAGGGACTCAAGAAAATGAAATATTTATATCTTGGCCGGATTTACTTGCACAATCAACTATTAAACACAAAACCATGTCAGAATAAGCATTTACTAATTTCTTTGTTGACAATACGGTACACCAACATGGCGGCGTAGCAACCATTGCTAGGATCTTGGTCATGTGAGTGAAAACCATCTATACAGTTGAATGTGAGGCACAATCTAAGGCCGAATCTGAGGCCCAATCCACAGCTACCTTCACAGGGGTAAAAAAACTATGTGAATTTCACACTTCCGAATGTCCTGAAGCAGGTGAATTATCTACTTCAGGTGCCTCTGTTCAATCAAGAGAAATTAGCAACACTTTGGAGACTATTGGAGAAAACATGGGCCAAATGGCTACAGTGAACAACATTAGTCTAAGAGCAAGCAAATAGTTCGACAAAAGCAAAGACAGCGAGATTGAACATGCGAGATGCTGCTAATCAGGTCCTGTCAATATGATGATGAAGTTAGCCTTTACACAAGCAGTAATGAACAGAATGATCTCGATGAAGGACGTTTTATTGCTCACCGGGCAAAACAAAGCGGTCAACGACCAACCTGACTCAGACCTTCTCCAAGACTTAGCTAATGAGCTTGAGGAAGATGAACACACCAAGGAAAGTGTCAACCAACCTTTGGCTAACATTGCCAACAAGTGTTGGGGGAAACAATTGAGGTTTGATAAAGGTAAGGCCCTACTTTCCAAGTATAAACGTCCAGAGAACTGTGGAGACAGATACAGAGGTCTTTGTAAACCCAGAGATTTGGATGCAGCTCTCCTCTCAGAAAAAGAAAACTGACTTGCAGTTGGGCAATTTTCAACAAATAGCAAGGAAACTTCTGTTTGTTAACCTTGAAATTATCAATACCTTTATGGCAGGTTAACAAATTGATAGTAAATCAGTGTTAGCTGAAACTGTTCATTCTATTGCCCTTGCTGGGACATATGAATCACAATCTTTTCCAACTAAGGAGAGATCAAATATGTCTGAAATAAACCGAAGAAATTACAGGATGCTAAAGAATTGTGCAGGATAGGGGAAAACCATGACACACAATGTTACCCAACATACTGGTTGGAAACAGTATTCCAGAGGAAATCACACTAGCACCCAAAACAATCCCTACCGAAGACAAGGGAAGGATTTGTTATGGAAAGGCCAAACTTGGCCTACCAGGGGGAGGAAATAATGCAGAAATTGCAGAATATTACAAACTCGGCAAGTAAATTTGTCAATTTTGTGCCATATGTAGTAATATATCTCCAGCAAAGATGTCATGAATTTGTAGCTGGACAAGTGGTTGACCATTTTCAAAAATGGGTAGCCCTCACTAATGACAAAGAAATACTCTCAGACATTGTTGGTATGAGAATTCAATGTGATGAATTACTAACTCAGCATAGACTTTTTGATCCAAAAAGAACAAAGCATGAGCAGTTGCTTATTAATCAGGAGATTGAAAAACTGGTTCAGAAACAGGTTAGTACCTGTTAGAACAGAGCAATCAGATTCTATCAGGAATATTTTTACATCCAAAAAAGGATGGTTCATACAAGTTAATACTTAACCTAAAACAATTTAACAAATATGTGAGTTATTACCATTTTAAAATGACTTCCTAAATACTATAACTAAACTTGTTGTAAAAAAATGTTACATGGCCTCCATTGATCTAAAGGACGCCTACTATTCGATACCAATTTATGGTGCTCATAGGAAATATCTTCGGTTTGAATGGGGAGGCAGGCCATATGGGTTCACTTGCATACGCAATGGCCTGTCTTACTGTCCCGGGAAATTCACAAAAATTCTTAAGCCACTTCTGGCTTATTTACACAAACAGAGCCATGTTTCTGTGGGACATATTGATGACCTATACCTCAAAGGTCAAACATATAATCAATATGTACATAATGTAGCAGACACAGTGGTTCTATTAGATGAGGCAGGGTTTATTGTTGCCCCCACCCTAGTTTGGAAGCATCAATGGTAATTGTTAGGTCAGGTAGACCATGACCTATGGGTTTAAACGAGGTGAGCATTGTTCCTGACCCACCAATCTAGCTCTTTTCTCACTTCAGCAGAAAAAGTCATATTAGCATCAAAATTACCCTGATTTTGCTTCAAATCTAGGGTGTTATCATGCTCTAGATGTCTATAGTAGAGGGGTCCATACATAACCCCAGGGAAATGGATACTATTTTCCCTATGATCCTGGCAGCATCCCTAATACTTATGGTTTGCTGTTTTAGCATTTTGGTGCGTCTTGCTGTAGCTGGGAAGCCTTCTGAGGTGTTACCTTACAATCATAGTTAGCAAGTTTAAAGTAAACCCAAGCTATAGTGGAATTAATACAGCATTAATACAGCATGTTCTGCTTTATCTATGTTGCTAACGGAGAATGAAATAACATTTGGTGACCACCCTCCATTTGCCAGACTATGAAAGGGATTTTTTACTTAAGACTGGCGTTGCCAAGATATTCTGAGATTTGGGATGTCAGTGTAGTTTTGGAGTATCTGAAAAATTTAGGTATTCCCACACCTTTATCTCTGAAACAGCTTACCTTGAAGTTAACAATGTTGTTGTGTTTATTGACTGGCCAGAGGTGCCAAACTGTACATACCATAGATATAAATCACATGCAAAAAATGGATGACCGATACCGAATTACAATATGGCAGAAATTGAAACAAACCAAAATTGGAAAGCATAGTGACCCTATTAAACTGGTTCCTTTAATGAAGAACCCAGAATATGTGTCATGCAACATTTGGAAGAATACCGTACATTGGAAGGACAAAATTGAGAGATAAGCATACACAGTTATTAATTAGTTATGTTAAACCAAATCGTCATGTTTCAAAGGATATGGTTGCCAGATGGGTCAAAGAAGTTCTTACATCATCATGTATCGATACCAATGTGTATGGTGCACATAGCAGTTGAACCGCCTCAACATCTTTGCCACCAAAAAGGGTTCAATATGGTGACAATCTGAAATCTGCCGGTTGGTCTAACAGTTGTACACGATTTTATGGTAAGTAAACCCTTAGAACAGTCTAATTTTGGACAATATGTTGTACTAGGGAGATGCTAAGCATCATGGGGCGAGCCTGAGCAATGATAGCCAGCAACTATCATGCAACAATGATTAACTAATGTCAACCTTTCTTGTTTTTGCACTTTAATTAATTAAACTATCATTGGCATTGCAATGTAGTGTCGAAATTTCAAAAGCAAAACTCGTAGTATTTTAAATGTTGGGAATTGTGCTGTTTCTAGCTGTGTATTATATTTAATATTTTGTTCAAAGCAAAATTCGTAGTATTAATGTTGGGAATTGTATTTCTATCCATGTATAAGGCCCGTTCTAAACGTCTCGTTTTACATGTGCCGAATGCATTCAAAACAATCGTCAATAGATAATCAGCTGAAATCCTCATTATCCATTGTTTTGAATGCATTCGGCGCATGTAAAATATGACTTTTAGAACAGGCTTTATATTTGAGATTTTGTTAAAACATTAAACACGTTATTGAAATCACAATCTTTTCAATCTTTCATGCACGAAATATTGAAATAAATAATATAGAAATGGTTGAATGCATGGTTTTTGGCACACACACTAAAAATAGCAGATGCATACATGCACTGCATGTAAACAAAACATTTAATACATAAGGCCTGTTTACACTTTAGTCTAGGACCTGTATATGAGTTTGTATGCGTTTCATTTAGCACAGGTAATCTCATCTGTTTTAGGGTAAAATGACCATGGCGGTCAACATGGCATATGTGCCAAAAGCTGAATCCGGGACGAAAGTCCTGAAAATGACCCCGCCCTGAAACGGCAGTGTCGACATAGCTCTAACTTCAGAAAACAAAAAGCGATAGTCTTTCTGAAGTGCTTATAGTGTTTAGAAGGGTTGCTTTTAGGGGTGGTCATTGGAAGAAAAATTTGTCTAAGTATAATATTTTACAAGAAAATGACCATGCACCACCCCAGGTAAATTGCTGATTATGCATAAAATAACTAATATGCCTGGCAGAAATTAAATATTCTTATTTCCTAAAAAAAATTATCATGGGGTTAAAAACTATGCTTAATTTAATGTAAATATTGTTGATTTCATAAGGATTGTCATTGTTTTCTTTAAATATAATAAATTCTATTTCACTTACCCCCCACGAAAACGCGATTTCAGCCATATTTTGCCGTCTTGTTTGCTTTTTATCGCCGAATCACGCAAATATCATCCAGTTATTGTACTTTTACATAATCATAAATGGCTGAAGAAGATTTCAAAGAAGGTTTCATCCACTTTTGAAACAGTGCAGTGTATTTTATCTTCGATAATGTGTCCTTCGATATCTCGTCAAATTGCCGCCATTTTAATGGCTCGCCGCTTCTCTGCCCGATAAATGCCACTTCTTCGTTTTCATATGTATTTAGATTACATTATCCAAGAGTACTTCATTGTAGAATAGTCCCAATCCAAAAATTGGAAATATTATTTGTACTTGGGAGGAAAAAACCTCCCAGTACAATTGTCCTGTTAGAATTCAAAAGAAATAATTTAAAAGTCACGCGCAAGTTCGCGAAAACACCTCGTGGGTTACATAACAGGGGGGGTGAATATTTTCACGAAACGTTTGTTCGCCACCACAGCAACCTAACTAAATGTATTATATTTTTTGTATTTTTATAATTGATGATAAATATACGCAAATATTTATTGTTTTTATCAAAAATCACAAATATACAATAAATATAATGTACCTAACTTAGGTTGCTGTGGCCTGTGGTGGCGAACAAACGTTTCGTGAAAATATTCACCCCCCCTGTTATGTAACCCACGAGGTGTTTTCGCGAACTTGCGCGTGATTTTTAAATTATTTCTTTTGAATTCTAACAGGACAATTGTACTGGGAGGTTTTTTCCTCCCAAGTACAAATAATATTTCCAATTTTTGGATTGGGACTATTCTACAATGAAGTACTCTTGGATAATGTAATCTAAATACATATGAAAACGAAGAAGTGGCATTTATCGGGCAGAGAAGCGGCGAGCCATTAAAATGGCGGCAATTTGACGAGATATCGAAGGACACATTATCGAAGATAAAATACACTGCACTGTTTCAAAAGTGGATGAAACCTTCTTTGAAATCTTCTTCAGCCATTTATGATTATGTAAAAGTACAATAACTGGATGATATTTGCGTGATTCGGCGATAAAAAGCAAACAAGACAGCAAAATATGGCTGAAATCGCGTTTTCGTGGGGGGGTAAGTGAAATAAAATTTATTATATTTAAAGAAAACAATGACAATCCTTATGAAATCAACAATATTTACATTAAATTAAGCATAGTTTTTAACCCCATGATAATTTTTTTTAGGAAATAAGAATATTTAATTTCTGCCAGGCACATTAGTTATTTTATGCATAATCAGCAATTTACCTGGGGTGGTGCATGGTCATTTTCTTGTAAAATATTATACTTGGACAAATTTTTCTTCCAATGACCACCCCTAAAAGCAACCCTTCCAAACACTATAAGCACTTCAGAAAGACTATCGCTTTTTGTTTTCTGAAGTTAGAGCTATGTCGACACTGCTGTTTCAGGGCGGGGTCATTTTCAGGACTTTCGTCCCGGATTCAGCTTTTGGCACATATGCCATGTTGACCGCCATGGTCATTTTACCCTAAAACAGTTGAGATTACCTGTGCTAAATGAAATGCATACAAACTCATATACAGGTCCTAGACTACTTGCAATTTTCAGTGCGATTTTAAGTGCGATTTTTTCTGCTGACGTGATGGCGACATGAAATCGCCAGTGTAAACACCCTGCGATTTAACTGCAATTCCAGTGCAATTCAAGTGCAACAAGGTGCGATATTTTCAATCTTGCTCAAAATTTATCGCACTTCGCTGCGATTTTTGCAATAAAATTAGGCAAAACGTGACTCTGTCACCCCTGCATAGTTGTTTTTGGCGAGCAAAAATGGCGGAAAAAACAAAAACGCTGCAGAAATGTAAAAATAAAAAGGTATGTTGGACAGTCGAGGAGGAAGAGCTTTTGGTGGAGTTATGGCCAAACTATGAATGCCTTTATAAGACAAACAGTCCAGAGTTCAAGAGAGTGGACAAACGGCAGTCTGCCCGCGAAGACATAAGAAGAAAACTTGAAACAGAACTGGAAAGCTCGTTCACTGGTAAAAAAACACATTTAATTTAACTTTTAATTTGATAACCAAACAGTGTATAATTTATAATTAATATAAATTTATATTTAGCTACTTCAAAGAAATGGCTATATAAATGCTTATAGTTTTCTAGACAATGTATTTCATCAAACCTTAACCATAAATAATGCCATGAACGTCGGTCTGTTTTCCAGTTTTTGCTTGTTTGGCAAACACCTTGTTGCAAAATCACCAGTGATTTAATTCTTATCTTTTAACTTTACACCCGTTTTCAAAATTACGCGACTAGCACGGAAAAGTCTCAGCCTGACATGTGGGTTTTATGTCAAATGAAAATTCAAAATGGCGGCAATAAACATGGCGGAGAGCGATTCCGAATTCGAATACGACACAGACAATGAAATAAACAATGCTAATCACGAAACATCTGATAGCGAAACACAAGACAATGATGATAGCATCTATCAAGTGGCTTTACCTGGTGAAGATGAAACACAAATAATTGACAACGAATCGGTCGAGGTTAGTTGATTACTTGATTATAGTCTAAAATCTAACTTAATATTCTCTGAAACTTTATACAATTTTTTTGCATTTTTTATAAGTACTGGTAAAACAATTGTTGTCGTTTTCCCATATAACATAGAGAGAAGTTATATTGTATATGCAAACAAAGAACGGCAATGTTGCTGGTGCTGAATATTCGCCATTGGTATTGCCTCCTCGATGGGACTACGAAACTTTAAAAAACTGTGTAGAGGACTACATAACTCGAAAACTTGGGACCGACAAGGTTGTAAAAAAAATGTATTACAAGCGTGCGAATAGGAAGTCTTTGGTCTCATTTGATGGGGACATGGACATTCCAGCATTGCTAAAGGAATATCCTTTACAAGAACCCAAGCGAAAAGGAAGAAAGAATAAATGCTATATTTACTTAGCAGTTGATTTAGGAGAAGGTACGGTTGATAACGGCATGATAAAAAATGTGTTGATGTAGTTATGTAATACAGTAAGTTACTAATGCCACAGAATAAGAAGCTATAGCAGAAGCGTAACTCTAGTCGTTTCCCTTATTGTTTTACGTCCACGAAAATTTTAACTCGCTCACGCCATCCTGGCTAGTACAACCGGAAGTTTTTATCAGGTTTTGCTAGGTACAAAATGCCGGTTGTACTAGCCAGGATGGCGTGTTGATGACGAATCGCTTGTAAAAACGCGGACAAATACTTGCTTGAGTTACGCTTCTGCTATAGCTTCCTATTCTGTGCTAATGCACAGGGCCGCCGAGAGGTTGGCGGGGGCCCGGGGCAAATTTTTTTTAGGGGCCCCTATTTCAAAATTTTTTCAGACAACCTCTCTCCCCCAACCCCCGTCAACAACTTTTTAGGTAAAAAATAATTTCCGGACAAGTACATTGCAGTTGCTTTCCAGCGACTTTATCTCAATTTTTCATACCAAATTTCAGCCCAGAAAAACAGATATCTTGTCTTTTGCGCGGAAATTTTTAACACACAAAAATGACTGGGGCCCAACTAAAAATTTTCAGGGGCCCCCAGCACCTCGGCGCAATTTTCCCCCCTCTCTCGGCGGCCCTGCTAATGCATTCTCCCATGTGGCTTTTTGGGCATTTCATTTAATATCCATACACCCCTCCCCCCATCAATGGTAAGGTGATTTTTAGCTCTGGATTTCATCGGGGCCAAGGCCTGTTCGTACTACGCTAAATTTTGGTACCCATACTTATGCTCGGGCTACTATGTGCTACACAGATAAATTTGGTACAGGTGCTTGACCAAAAATCAAGAGTATTGTAAATGGGACTCTAATTTCAGTGTGAAATTCATCAGGGTTGGGTATTCTAAATGAGTTTTTTTCATGGGTAAGTGTGGATTTCTTTGAGGGGTATATAAATACAATTATTCCTTTTACAATAGGAATTTTTCAGGGGGTAAAGTAAAACCCTTGAGTTGTCCTTGCTTGGGGGGGGGGGGATTTCCATTGAATGGAATAACATATTTTGTCTGGTACACCAGGCTGAAATAGGATTTTGGTGGGTTGACCAGACTCACTACCCTTGTCTCTCAGTCCGGTATGGAAAATATATAATTGATGTACGATAAGACACTGATTGTAGAAATTTTGAACAGCCACAGAAATGGTTTTAGGTCAAATATTTGTGACTTAAAACCCTGAAGAAAGACCTACGACTCATGTCTCACTATGGGTCCAACCATGGTTGACATGCATCATACCTGGCAGCTATAGATTTAGGCACAAAGTACTCTGCTGATCAGCACAAAATGTTCAGTTCAAACTGGAAGAAAATTATTATATCTGCTCACAGAAATAAAAGTATTCCGATTATATTTTGATATAATATAACTGTGTAGTAATGTGTGAGCTACATTAATGCCAGACAGTCTCACTTGAAACAGGTGTTGAACCTTAATTTGTAAAGTTAATACAGACTTAAAAATTATACAGACACTTAATAACTATTGCCCTACCAGCCCAAAACAATCACCAGTGTTGTAACGAGTCACCAACAGGTTGAGTCACGAGTCGAGTCATTTCACTATCCGGTTGAGTTGAGTTAATGGCTTCTCGAGTCTAGTCAATGCATGACTTCACTCGAGTCGAGTCAATGGTTATGTGAATTGTATGGGGAACAACAAGGCGAATAAAAATTCCATTCTACAAGTGAAAACATGCCTAAATGGAAAATCTTTTTAAATGGAAAAAGCATCCATATATTGACAACATTATCTCTTACCATTTCAGACAGCCCTCCTATCAGAAAGTCTCCACGTCTGCAGGCACTAAACCAAAAGGCTTCAGATATCTTTGTTCATCCATATGTCAATGGGAAAGTGTTACCAACTGCAGACACTCTTCACAATTTATCGTCCAGTGAATCTCTCTCTGATATAACTTTGAGGATTGTGTCTCTTGATACTGAAAACTTATACACTCCAAAGAAAGGCTTATATTGGCTACGAAAAGGTACAAAGCAACCTGTTGCATTAAAAAGTGATGAAGATCTAGCATCATGTAGACGGGAATATGGCCCAAAAGTACCACTAAAAATTGCATGTGAATGCGTTGTTTCTTCACCACCAGGTAAGAAGCGATTATGATGTTTTTTACTTAATTTAACATTTAATTTCTTAGACTTGCTTCATTAATGCACCTTAATTAAGCAGGTCATGTCTCCTTCCATGAACATGCCATATTGTATACATTCGGGTGAATCTTGAATCATAATTGTTACATATAAAAAGTAAAATACACTTGTCCAAGTTATACAACAACTAAATTAATGTATTGTCATGCTAATAATTTAATAAGCTTACTGTAGTTATATAATTTCTGCTACTACTTGTAAATAGTGATTGCCTTTTTTGGATCTGCTACTGTATTTTTAGAATCATCAGTCTCCAACTCTAGAAAAAGAAAACTTGATTTGGGAGGAAACAATAGTACTGCAGCAGAAAATGAGTTGTGGAATGACGTGCATGTCTCTTTGGTTCGAGATCTTGAAAAAAAGGGAGTGATGTGGAGGTATAACATCAATCATCTCAAGCACTGGACTGATGCAATAGTCGATGGAAAGTCATCTGGTGTGGGGGACGAACCTGACTGGGATAAATGTATTGATATTGTGAGAGTTCCTCCCAAGAATATGAGATCAAACCGAAGTCCATCCATGTGTAGTGAATCGAGCTTAAGTTCATCGCCAACATCAAATCTTAATCAATCTCCACCTACTAATGCTTCTCCAAACATGCTGGAGTTGTTTATGCTACAGAGCCAACAGAGAATGGAAATTGAAGCAAAACGAGCTGATATGTTTCAGACAACCTTACTAGCAATGATGAGTTCTAATATTAGGTTTCAGGTGAGATTGTAAAATGTATGATTAGATAAAATGTTGTACTGGTATTATATTTCTTTCAGGTAAAACATTTAGAAGGGGTAAAATTACATGTTTTCAAAATATGCCAAATGTTACACAGTATGCTTACTTGCTTGTGTCTACAACTGTCAAATTTTCACGTACAGAATGTTTACACCCAGATTTATTTTTCATCATTGTTTTAGTGTTTGTTGCATACTCAAAATGTGACACTTTTACAGTACCTGTTAACTCATTAACCCATTGAGTGGCAGCACTCTCCCCCTGACGAGTCAAATCGTCTGGCGTTAGACAGAGTAAAATAGTCTGGCGTTAGACAGAGTAAAATAATAAAGTAGGGCACATCTGGGCGCATTGCCACTTATTAGGGCTAAGTTGCGTTATGCCCTAAGGCCCCTAATGCTAACTCTGTCCAATGCCAGATGATTTTACTCATCAATGGGAGAGTGCTGGCACCCCATTAATTAGAAGTTATAATTTGTACTTGAGTCTAGTACACTGTAGAAATTGAGTGTTATGTAGCTAAATTGTGGGAAATTGCAAGCAATTATATGCATTACAACAATTACACTGTACATGTACAGTATTGTTCTTAAATGTTTTAGCAGCCAAGTGGAAGTTTAGTACAGCCGAGTGGAAGTTTAGTACAGCCGAGTGGAAGTTTAGTACAGCCGAGTGGAAATTTAGTACAGCCAACTACAAAAATAGGTTTGTTTTTATCATATGCATATTTATATAATTATCACACTTATATACATATATAATTGCTCGTATAATTTGTTAATTCCCGTTTATAAATGCCAATACATTAAAATACAGGTAAAACAGTGTATAGCAAGGCAAAATGAAAAAATAACTTTTGAAGACTCTTCATTATTTTTTGTGGCTCTTGATAAATAATTACAAGGAATATATTTGGGTGAAATGCTGTGCTTTGGTCATCAAACGCATGGATGGTCTAAACTGCATGTTGCAGGTTGATTAGATAGTCAAAAAAGCTTTTCGGTATTTTAATGATTTAGATAAAATCATAAACCTAATACACATATTATGGTCTTTATACTAACCAGAAAACTCAAAAACGGAATAACCAATCTGCACCCTGGCATTTAGACATTAAATCCTTGATTACATTATGCAAACACATAATTTAATGAGATACCAAGCCTTTTATTTTGAAATACATCCAGTGAAGTTCTTCTAAAAAAAATAATATAACCTACATATCAAGCAGTTACTGTACATGTGACATACTGTACACAAACATAGAACCTAAACTAAAGGTTTTCCAAAACGATATCATTTTCCTTGCCAGAAATTCAAAAACTAACAGAGGACAATGTGGCAAGATTTTTGCAAAAGATAGGTTTGCAACATTATTGCCAAACCTTTAAAGATAATAAAGTTGATGGGAACCTTCTTGAAGCTATGATACACCCTACTCTTGGTGATGGTCTAATTAAAAGTCTTGGCATCACAGAAGAAAATGACCGTTTGCGTTTATCCAAAGAGATTTACAAAATTACGTTCCAAGGATATGAAGATTTTTAAAAGGTTTAAACAGTACTTACCTTTAATCATAGCCACATGATGATATTATCCGAGAACATGATGATTCGGAAATCTGTTAAAATATTAAGAGAACTTAATATAATTGATATTTTGGTAGTAATGCATTTTTTATTGAAATTAGGTATAAAGCACTTTCTCAATATATGAACAACTCAAAATTCCTTGCTATACATGCATGTAGAGTACAATGAATTAATAGCATTCATTTGCCTTTTTACACATAATCCTATCAGATAGTATCTGCTATGTGGTGGGTTCAATTCTGCGTAATTGAAAAAGTGCTATTTATGTTTTGTAGTTGGAAAAGATAAAGACTATGAAATAGACTTTATATAGATTTTATTAATAGCTATTAACAGTAAAAACAATTAAACTCCTGGTGATGCATGTATATGTATATACTGTTGCACATACCAGTCATGTTGTGTTGTTATAATCATGGATGGATGTTAAAATTATTTGAGTTTCTGTATAAACTTTAAAAGATAGTGTATTTTACCTGATACAGTGCAATCTCAAAGCATCTTTTTGGATACTTTTCACAAATATCTTGGTGACTCTGAAGCCACTTCTTAGCGGTGCCAAAAGCAATCTCAATTGGATTCAAGTCTGGTGAATACGGTCTGTACAAAAACATATGTTTTACAATTTTATGTGTGAATATATACTATGCAATTCATTTGTTCTATTGTACCATATAGTATGTGGGGCCATCAGTGACACAATTCCTTTGTGCTCCAGCTGGCAAAAACCAGGGGTCCCTGATCATCAAGCAAGCATCACAAAGCACTGAACGAGGTTGTGTTTGAGCAGTTGTTACAAGTTGTACTGTACTCCCTGCCCCTACTTGTTACCCCATTTCTAGGTTGTGTGGGCAAACAGGTACAGTGCATTTTAGTCTATTTACAACCCAGGGCTTAACTGATAGGACAGTTGGCTATAATGGGAAGGGGGCAACTTAATTATTTTCAATTTAATTTATAAACCTTGCCAATGAAACAATACATTATATAACAGGACAAAAACAAATGTACATAACAAAATACAGTACATGACCACGGCTGGGTGATCGCAACAGCGAATAGCCAATTACTGCAGGACCGACACAAAACTATCATAATATACACAGGCTACAAATACAATTACATTTCAGACATATACTCTTAAATGTTTGAGAGTTTCAGGATCATAATTAATGTTCAGTGATGTAATACTTGAGCAAATTCAATTTAAATACATTCTGCAATCTGCTTTTGTCAACAGAAAAATGTACAAGAGGCATGTACTAAATACTCACGGTAAAAATATGATAAGGCCACCCTTTCCTTGAACCATCTGGATAATCCTTTCAGAATAATGAATGCTGCAGTTGTCCATGACCACAACTGAGCACTTTTTATGCTTGGCAAATGACCCAATATAAGGGAAAATAAAATTTTCAAAACAAAATTCAAACTGGACCATGTCATATGAACCAATAATTGAGTGAGCAACTGTAATTCCTGCTGTTGACATTGCAGCCAGAACACTGAATCTTTTACCTCTAGTAAAATTGCCATGGTTAGCCAATCTGCATCCTCTCAAAGAAATGCCAAACTTCCTCTAGTGGAAAAATACATATAAAAAGAGCATGCAATTAATTTAATTGCAGTACCCACAATTACTGTAGCACCGATGTACCTGCATGTCATTCAAATAATGATAAATAAATCTATGGCAAATTTATTGTCTACAAATAATTCCCGGTCCTCTATTGGACCTGACTGTGTAGCTCAGTTGGAAAAGTGTCAATGTAAAATTTCAATATATATATATATATATATATATATAATCATAAACGAATTGAGTGGTCAATTAACCAGGGTAGAACTAATATAGATTAGAAGAAAAACTTCGATTATTTCATGAGAACTTTATTTCACAACTAAAGTTCTTATAAAATAACTCACAAACTGAGAGAGAGAATTTCAATTCTGAAATTCTTCAGAGCATAGCACTGCTTTACAAGAAAGTCGAATATATATACACTTTTAGCTAGAAGCTGATGATGTGATTTTTGCTCCTTTTTTAAACTGACTCAAACTGTTGCTGCATTTTACATCTTCAGGTAAAGTATTCCACAATTTTACCCCTGAAAATGCAAAGCTTTTCTTCAAATATTCAGTTTGAGGCTTTGGTAGTACAAGAGAGACCATTTTGAAATGTCTGCCATAGATAATTTTTATAGAAGTAGAAAACTATTTTTTTCTACTTCTATAAAAATTATCTGTGGCAGACATTTCAAAATGGTCTCTCAAATAATTTGGTGCCAAATTATTTAATATCTTATACATCATAGTTAATTGGTGTATGTCTCACATTTCAGCAATGTTTGCCCAATGTTTGCCTTTCATCTGATATCATAACCTTGATGAGTAATAACTCTAGTGGCACGATTTTGCAACTTTTGTAGAATGCTAGCACCAGAGAGAGACAGGGGGGGGGGAGGGAAGGAGGTAGGGAAGGAGAGAGACTGATTTTACCTGAAAACTTCTATCATCTTTTGCGGATTCGTCAACAAATAAAAATTGATGCTTGTAAATTCCTGCCACAAGATGTCGATAATTTGCACGCTTAAATTCATTCCATTGTTTAGCTATCACATGTAACTGTTGGGAATGATTTTTTGACAAAGTGTTAGTGATACTACACAACACATATCCATTGAGTGGCAGCACGACTCCCCATGACAAGTAAAATTGTCTGGCATTAGATAGAGTACAATTAGGGTGCAATGCAATTTAATGGGTTAGTTGGTACATGTGACAGTATAAACTTGTGGGACAGGACATGAATATATATGTCAGGGGACTACAAATCATATATAAACTGTCATAATTCATGAAAATCTTGTGTGAACTAGTTTGACATTCTCTCTGGGATGGGAGGTTTCTGGAGTGTGTGTGTGGGGGGGATAAACCCATATTTAAAACCTGTGTGTTGACATTTAAAGTTGTCAAGCAACTCACTTTTTTGACACTTAGACCACATCTTCTAAGGAAACGATGTAGCGTGGTTATTGAGTACACAACACCAGTGATGTAGTGCATCCAGTCTCTCAATTCGTCAAGATATATTTCGGGGTATTGATTAACAAGTCTCCTAACGAGTAACATATCATGACCTTTTATAAATATAATAAACAAACGTGAGAAACTTAATACATCAGATTATAAAGTTACACAAGTTAAAAAAATCAAATATTTGTAAACAATATAAACCTGTTATGATTCTCTTTCGCCCTTTACGATGTTTCTCGTATTCAACGCCCGAGGTTGCTTTGTAAATACTCAGAACTTTTTTTACGAAAGTTTCTTCTACATGTAAAGTTCGTGCAATATGACCATAGGAAAGCCCATCGTTGTTTAAAAATACAACCCTCCATCGAAGTGCAATTGGATATGATTTTACCATATCTATTCAAGCACGCTTTACAAAAATAACATCACAAACTCTGTTGACATTAAAATTTCACTCAACAAACCTCCGCCATTTTGAATTTTCATTTGACTTAAAACCCACATGTCAGGCTGAGACTTTTCCGTGTTAGTCGCGTAATTTTGAAAACGGGTGTAATACTAAAACCATTTTTTGGTCCTTCCTTTTCCATTCAAGATGCAGATATTAAAGCTAAGATTAGGAACTTGCGAACGCAGTACGGCAAAGAGATGGGAAAAGCGTGAGCTTCCGTAGCGAGTGGTGCAGGCACAACAGTGTTTACGAGCCATCATGGCGATTTTATAACTCATTGCATTTTCTGCGAGACAGTATCACACCGGTGAAAACGAAGCCAACGTCAGGCGTCCCAGAAGTCAGACTAACACTCATTGCATCAGAGCTGGCATCAGGCGAAGTTCAATTGGAGCCGAGTGAAGATACAAACAACAGTGACGACAATGTCAATGAAGATAATTTATTAAACGACCCAAGTGAGTCAATAAACGACGAGTTTTCCGTATCAAGACCATTCAACATCTTAACCCAGTCGCAAAACGATCCCAGCAAGTCGGCGAAGTCGAAAGCCAATGTCCGTGAAAAGATGGAAAATATTGTCTTACAAAAATCGTTGACGGTGCTGGACAAGCTCGCAACTAGTAATAAGCGAAAGCATTCAGAGGAACTTGACGCCGATGAAACGTTCGGTATGCACGTTGCACATTCGTTGAGGCAAATTGAAGACCGGCGTACTAAAGAACTGCTGAAGCTAAAGATTCAGCAGCTTTTGTTTAATGCTGAGTTCAGCGGACAGGATCAACTGCCATCAGCCTCTTGAGCATCTGAAAGTCAAAGACTTATGTTTTAATTGCTTTAAAATATTAATAATATCAGGTTTTACAATTACATGTCAAATTTTATTAAAATCATTCCGATTTTATTCATTACTATATCCAATATATACGTACCAGCTGTTTTTCATTGTCACGTTGTGTTTGATCGATATCGACACCGACGAATCGTATCTTGATAGTTGTAGTATAAACACGTTATTGAACGTTTTGAAGAACTTTTAATATAGCACACAATACAAAACCGAGCTAATATTCCTATATAATCAAGCACACTACAAGCGTAGTTCAGCTATAGTACATCCTCGAGTACATCTAAGTCCTTTACACCTATACACTGTCACTGACCACTGTGACCAGTTACCAGTAAAAACAGGTCTGACAGGTCTGTGTCTGACTAAAAACGAATTTCGATTATTTTGACAACCAATCACAAAAGAAAAACTCTTTGAAAAAAACAAGCCAAAACGCGTAAACAAAATGATTAAAACAACAATGCACGACATATGATTGGATAATAATTTAAGAACACTTTCAAACTAATGTCTATTTTGCATATATTAATTATACAAGTAAACAACTGCCATTCACTCAATGGTGTTTCACAAATGGTTCAATGTTTATTCCCTTTGAAAACAATTGTCAACAGTCAAAACATCTAATAGTTAGTTATGCCAGTAATGTTTTCCATTGCCATTGCACTTGCCCTGGTCCATTGACATACTGTGACAAGCAATCTCTGATCTTACTGGCACTCTTGAGATGGTTACCACGGGTTGAAGGGAAAGATGTAAAAGCTCCAGCACGGTCTGTGCTTTGTCTCCAATCACCGTCTATAATTTCCCCTTGGTCGTTTGGGTGATCAAGAGATCCAACGGGAGCATAAATCGAAGGGCATTTTCTCAACAGGAAGTTGTGAAGCAGCAAAGCTGCATGGACGATAACAACTGCGTTCTCTGGCTTAGCACAAAGTGTCATATGAAACATTCGAAATTTTGCACTCATAATTCCAAATACATTTTCACTGACTCTCCGCGCTCGGGATAGGCGATAGTTGAATATACGTTGTTCCTCCGTCAAGCCTCTTTGGGGGTATGGCTTCATCATATTTGGAGCCAACGCGAATGCATCATCGCCAACAAAATAATGCGGTATTTGGCAATAACTATCCTCATCTTCGTGGCCGCGATTTTCTGGGGCTGTTGGAAGGGATTTAGGGATCGGTATGCCCAAACTGTTTGCCTCTAATGCTTTGAAGAAATTGGTGTTTCTCAGCACACCGCCATCACTGATACGTCCTTGGCAACCCACATCAGCGTATATGAATTCCGAGGAAGGACCCACAATAGCCATGAGCACAATGCTGTAGAAGCCCTTGTAGTTGTAATAATCAGAGCCAGAACACCGAGGATGGACAATTCGTACATGCTTGCCATCAATTGCACCAATACAGTTCGGTAGTTGCCAACGCTGGTAAAACTCAGCTGCAATTTCTCCCCATTTTTCGGCAGTGCTTGGGCATTCAATATACTCCGAACAATATGTGGCAATGGCGTTACAAACTTTAGGAATAATGATTGATAAAGTACCTTTGTTGATGCGGAATTGGTATTGCAAACTTGTGTACGATTCGCCTGTTGCCAGAAAGCGAAGGGTAACAGCCAGCTGTTCGGCAGGACTGATAGAGTTGCGAAAAACAGTATCTTTCTTTTGAAGGTATGTGCCTATTTTCCCCAATAGCTCTTCAAATGCAGGGAGATCCATTCTCAAGTAATTTTTGAGGCTATCGACATCCTTTTCTAAATCTTTCATCAATTTGTGGAAAGCCCCGTCTGATTCCCTGCTCGCAATCCATGGCTTTATCCAAACTTTTCTTTCCCGGCGTTTTTTTCGCCGAGAACGTGCGAGCAATACACTTAGAAAAGCTGTTGTAGCAACAGCAGCTATTTCAGTTTCGTTTTCATCCATATTTAAGTGGAATATAAAACTTAAACATAATTTTTAAACCTGTTCTTACGTGTAGACTTTTACTTTAATTTAGTTTTCAATAATTTCTGCACACGAAAGCAACGAAATCGCACTAAATTGCACTTTAGTTGCACTTTAATTGCACTGAAATTGCACTTAAATCGCAGGGTGTTTACATTGGCAATTTTAATGTCGCCATCACGTCAGCAGAAAAAATCGCACATAAAATCGCAGTGAAAATTGCAAGTGTAAACAGGCCTTTAAACAACTTCTTCTTTTCTATGTTTAATAACTCTTTCCCAAGAAGATTATGATGCTCATCCAGCGTCCACCACTACCCTCTGTGACCCCATAAGTGATATCAACATCTCGCCTGATGACGTTCAACGTGCTCTTCTCTCTCGATGACAACAAAGCTACTGGTCCAGACAAAATTCCGGCAAAGTTGCTTAGATGTTGTGCTCCATACATTTCCTCATCCCTTGCTGATCTCTTCAATAGAAGTTTAATTTCCGGTAGTGTACCAGCGGAATGGAAAGTTTCTAATATAATACCCATTCCTAAAGGTGGTCAAAAGAACGAAGTTTCAAATTATCGACCCATATCTTTACTTCCAATTGTATCAAACGTCCTCGAGCGTTGCATATACGACCAATTGATCAACCATGTCTCAAGTGAACTGCATAACCTCCAATATGGATTTCTCAGGGGGAAGTCTACAACATCACAATTACTAAAGGTTCTACACGAGTTTGATGTAAAAAACACTGATGTCCTTTATCTCAGTTTCGCTAAAGCGTTTGACAGGGTTGATCATCAGCTGCTTCTCAAGAAACTTAGTAATTTTGGAGTTTGCGGAAACTTGCTGAGCTGGTTTCATAACTATCTAACAGATCGCCATCAAAAGTTATCATTTTAGGAAAAACATCCCGATCAATACCCGTTCTATCAGGTGTTCCTCAGGGTTCAATCCTTGGCCCTTTATTGTTTCTTGTATACGTGAATAATCTGCCAGAAAAGTTCACCACATCATCTGTTGCTCTGTTCGGCGCTGATGATACCAAGTGTTATCATGCCATAAGAACAGATGACGTAAAAGCTCTCGAATTACCCTGGCCCAGAGGTTTTTTTAGGTTTGGCGAACGCGAAATGCGAGAAAACGCGCGAAGAAAAAGGAAAAACCTCTGGTGAATTTGTTAGCGATTCCTGGTTCGGATAAAGAATGCAAAAAATGTATAATGGCTTAATGCATCATATTCTAAAAATATTATCCAATCATTATCCTTGACGCCAGGCCGTCTAGACAGGGTTTTATCGCATGTTTACTGTATGCCTGCCCATTTTAGTGTGGCGGATATGTGCATGGATGTTTCCGAAGAGGGTTAAAAGCACCAAATTGTGCACAGTAGCATCTTTTCAGTGAGTAGAACAACATGCAAAAGTGGGGCCATCGTGAAACTGTTTTTTTTAGAGAGTTACGATGCTATTAGCATTATTTGCTATTAAATTCTACTACAACAAAAATGCGAAATTTTGAATTCAATCGCGACAAATATAACTTGCATCATCAGAAAGCTTGTAAAAAACTACATAAAAGACTTTTAAACAGTTTTTTTATTCTTCAAATGGTTATTGCTGTAAATTAGGCACATTGTCTCGCTAAAACTGAGTCCCTAATTAATTATTCGATGTTTGAAAATGCGTTTTTAACAGTTTATAATTCGAAAACTATTTCAGAAATCAAAAAACTGTCTAAACGTCTTATATGCAGTTTTTTTATAAGCTTTCTGATTATGCAAGATCATATTTGTTGTAATTGAATACAAAATTTCACATTTTTTGGCTATAATAGAATTCAATAGAAGAAAATCACTAATCACCCGTTTTCAGGAGTTAGCAGCAAAATAGCGATGGCCCCACTTGAAATATCTATTAAGCAAATAAAACTACATCAATTGTAAAAGTTTGATGCTTTTAACCTCAACGGGAACTACTGATCAATAATTTTACACATATCCGCCTCACTATTTGTAGCAATATTCATTCTCCTGAATTTCATTCAATTTAAAACATCACATCTATTCAATTTAATATAAATATATATTTATATTCATTCACTTTAATCTTGCAATATACATTCAATTTAATCCTGCAATATACATTCAAAAAAATCTGTATTTAAATTTATTAAACACACCTCTTTGGGCCGCCGTGAACTTTGTCTGTTAATACAAAAGCAAGCAAATTTGTCTTGTAGATTTCAAATGAAACCATTCCTCTCCATTTCGCATTTCGAATAATAGACTCGGGATTACAAAATGCGAATGTAAACTCTCCATCTAGTATTGCTTTCTCGTCCTCTTCGTTTGACAGTGAAGTAACACGGCATCCACGCTTTCTTAGTTCACGGACGTGAGAGTCAATGAAAAAGTTCAATTTGCAAATGACTATTAAGATGGGTTTCTCCAGAAAATTGTGGCTTTTGCCAAGTCGTCGTGCTACTCTCGGTGTTAGAACTTTGGAGTATTAAACTCTTCCCATGCATAACCGATAGCAAGATGCAAATACATCTTTAATTCAAATTGGACAAGGCGCGGTATTGATGCTCCGTTAAACTTTTAATTCAGGGAATTTATCAATCTATCTATTAATGCAGCCTATAAAACTGCTTCTTTCAACTTTTGTTCGTTTATTTAATAATATAGACATTTCAAAATTCAAATGTTTCAATTCAATCAAAACACGAAACGCCTGCGAACAGGCTATGATGTTTACAATATCCAATCAGAACACGTAGTCTATCGAACCTATAGTCAGCAGCCAATCAACTCTTTCCTTCCATTTTTGAAAGTTATGTGTGGAATGTGAACCCGAAAACTACGCCAATTTCACCAGAGGATTATTCAAAACAGGCGAAAATAAATACCCTCTGGCTCCAGGGTACTCTCGAATGTAATCTGGATGGAATCAGCCATTGGTGTCGGACGTGGCGCATGAACCTTAACGAAACTAAGTGTGGAGTTCTTAAGGTAACAAGGAATCTCAAACCCGTGCAGTCATCTTAGCATCTCAACAACGATAACTCAGCCAACTCAACGGTCATCTGTAAAGGGCTTGTTCAAAAAGATCTTGGCGCTCTCATCACTGCAGATCTCAAGTGGAACCAACAAGTCTCTGCTGTATGTGCGAAAGCTAACAGAATGCTTGGGTTCGTAAAAAGGTCCTCCATTAAGATGCATGATCCTCGTACACGTACCGCACCGCACTTTATAAAACGTTAGTACGAAGTCGTTTTGCGTACAGCTCCCAAGTCTGGTCCCCGCAGTCTGTGTCTTTAATCCTCGAAGTCGAGAAGATTCAAAGACGTGCAACGAGATTCATCCTATCGCTGCCATTTAGATCCGAAACCAGTTACCAGGACTATTGAAAACAGGTTTACTTCCTCTGTCTTACTGGCACGAGTACCTGGACTTGGTGTATCTCTTTAAGGCAATTAGATTGAATGACGCTCAGATTAGTATAGTATCAAACGATCGTATCACCAGGCGCGCTACAACTAACAGTGTAACATTAAAAATTTCCAGAGTTAACACTTTAACTTTTCAGAATAGTTTTTATAATAGAGCTCCCAGAATATATAACTCCCTACCACCACAAATTCGAGAAGCAAGCGTTGCTGTCGGCCAATTCAAATCTTACCTGTTTACTTATTATGAAGCAATGACTAAACAAATATATAACATTAATACTCCACAAACATTTAAAAGTATATGTGTCAAGTGTCACTCGTGTCGTCCGTTGTCCAGTCTTGTGGATAAAATGTGTTGTAAATAATGTAATGTTTTTTTGTTATTTTTTTTATATATACATATTATTAGGGACCCTGTAAATGGAGCAATAAGCTCTGTAGGGTTAACCTGTCATTTATGACTAAGTTTGTAAAAAAAAATCCCTGAAAGTCTCCAAATACTAATTAAATAATGATATACACTTATTGAACAAGTCAAACAGGAAGAGGTCTTGGGGATTATAATTGACGAAGAATTAAAATGGAAGGAACACATTAATGCCTAATGTAAGAAACTTTGGAGTGCTGTGGCTCTTCTAAGAAAAGCTAAACCTTTTGTACCACAAAATGAATTAGTTATTTAGTTCGTATGTACAACACTACAACTCCTTAGTATAGTCCCTTCAGGGGCGAAACTAGCCCCTTTTAATTCGGGGGTGTCTGCCAGAATTGCCCTGCCAAAACCGATGATGCCCTGCAGCAATTTTTATTTCTGGCCACTATTTTTCCCAAAAATGTTGCAAAAAAATTTTCCGGACATTAAAAAAAGAGTCAAAACGTTTTTGCGGACATAAACCAGTTAAATTAAGGGTCAAAAATTTTTTCCGTACAAACTCTTGTTAAAACATGGGTGAAACCCTTATTTTTGGACCAATATCTGTAAAATTTAGGTCTATAAATTCTATTCAATTCACTCTGAAAGCCCTGTAAGTTACTTCATAACTCTGCATTCACGGCTATCATTTAAAATCTTTGATTGCCCTGCCAATCCAGATGATTCGCCCTGCCAATCCACATGATTCGTATTTGGGGGGGGGGGGTGTCACACACCCCACACCCCCCTCAAGTTTCGCCTCTGAGTCCCTTACTTTACATATTGTTCGTCTGGCATGACGGAAATCGAACGAATCTTGAGAAACTGTACAAGATGCAAAAAAGGGCCGCTTGTGTCATCAAGTTCAAACTACGAAATAAGGTCAAAAACAATCTTTCGGATTCTAGGATGGGCTCCAATTGAGTCTATTCTTAGGAAAAGGGAAATTTTAATGACATTCAAGGCTACCCGTTGTATTGCGCCGGAGTACGTCTCTAACATGTTCTCTCATCGCCAAAATAACAATTACGAAATGCGGAGTAACACGCGCAAGCTTGTGTTAGGTAAGCCTATAAAACTAATTTTATGAAAAGATCCTTTTCATACCGAGGAGCTTGTGCCTGGAACAAATTACCCATTGACATCGTCAACGGGTATGAGCAACTATTGATAGGCAATTCATTTTAAAATTTTAATTGACAATTGTTTTTCTATAGATTAAATGACTGTTGATAATGCTCACAAGTATTGCAACATGATTTATCAATATTGTTTTATTTAACATGACGTATTTGTGTAAATATATCTATTAATATTTTATAGGTTTATGTAAAACAATCCCTTGAAAAGCAGCAATAACTGAAGGGCTATCGTTTCCAAATAACTTTTATAAATAAATAACTGAAATACTGCATGTTTAATAAACGAGCAGGAGCCGGTGTTTTATTAGGTTTAAAAACACGAGCGCGTAACGCGAGTGCTTATAAACCTAATAAAACACGTACTGCGAGTTTATAAAATTAAACAGCTTGAAACGCGACTTCATTAGTATTCTTTATATAAAGAATACTAAGTAGGAGAAGGTTTTGTATAAAGAATACAAATGAGGAGTGTTTTATTGGGGCTGCTCCATTTGCTGTTCTAGAACATTTGAAACACTGTTCTGGAACGATGTTAAATGGAGTGCACGCGGTGTTCTGGAACAGTGTTTAGTTTATTATGTAAATATGCGTGCAACCAGCATTATTATATTTATTAGTTATTCGCATAATAAATCGTATAATGGCTTGTTGTTATTTGAATATTTAAGCGTATATTCGTGGTGTAGACAGGTGTATATTCGGCGTTCAAATAGCATATAATAAGCATATGTCGATATATATAACGGTAACCCTTCAAAATATGTCGCCTCTATTTCCAATCACGTGAAAATGGGCGGCGTCACGTGTTCTGTTCCAGCTGCCCCTACTTTGAAGTTGGGCCGGGCAGCCAAATGACAGTTCCGAACGGTCATGTGATCGTGTTCTGTTCCATTCCATTACTATTACCCAAAATCCGGAGTACTCCGAACAGTAAATGCATGGAGCAGCCTGATGAGGTATAAAGTCACAGCACGTGACGCATTATCAGTGATTTAACAGGGTAATAAGCTTATACATTATTAATGAGTGTTTCAATAAGCGCTCAATACCATATAGAAAATATAGTTGCAAATCAGAAACTATTATATTTTCTATTTACTACTTCATATTTAATCATTAAATAACACATCATATAATTTAGAATATATAATAATTAAATAAAATTATAATAATTTTTTGAAAACTTTAACACGGTGTTATGATGACATTGTGAATTAATATAGTGTAATACGAATGAAATGTTGTATAAATAAATATACTTTTCCCACTGAGCGCATAAACTAATGCAACTTATTTAAAAGGAAAACTTGACCTTATAGATGTCAATGAAAGCTTGAATTATAATTTTTAATACTTTAAAAACGCAATAATTTCAAATAGAAAAAATAATAGAATCCATATCCACAATCTATCCGTAACCCGCATTTTCCACCAATCGTCTCGAATCTAATTACACAGTCACAGTGTATGTGTGAGAATATAATCAAAACATGGTGTTGTATTGGTTTTCCACTATATATATGAACCTCTGCTAAAGTTTTCTGTAGTCATTGCAAGTTTTCCGTACTCATGCGATTTGGCAATGCACAAACTAACGGCCGTTTTGTTGAGACACCCGTTATTTTTTGTCATGACTTCAACCCTTTCCCTATAACCCTAAATATATGTTCGTGCGCGAAACATACTGCAATGGGGGGGGGGGGGACATTGGATTAAAATTTCTCCAGGCATGTTCAGATTGACTTCAGACAATGTATGTAATTCTGGTACGGCTACATAATCTCCCGTTGTTAGGATGCATTTCGGCTGTGAAAAATTAAACAGTACGGAACGAATTCAAAATTGTTATTGCTGCCGCAGCGAGCGAGCCTGAAGCGAGCGAGCAAGGCAGCAGATCCTAATTTTGTTTTGTGGGTCGAAATCAAAATTTTCCATTTGGCGCATTGCATGACGGTACCAGTGAATTTTAACCGTGGTGCAGCGCGGTCAAACATAAGGCAAACAGACAATGTGATCATCTTTCATCTTTGGTCTTCTTTTATGGAAAGCCATAGCTGGCTTAAAGTGATCAAACGGCATTTTGTCGGCATTATACACGGTGCTTTCGCCACTATACGCGGTGGTTCCCGCATTATACGCGGTGGTTCCAGCATTATACGCGTTCACTATATGCGGTGCTTTTAACATTATACGCGATGATTATTTCCATATTCTTTCCATGACATGTGATGTCTATGATTTAACGATTACTTAAATTTGGTATGTGGTTGACAAATGCTTTTTGCCTATGGTTTGCAAGGACAATGACATGCTTGATGCTTTTCTGTGTATATAAATGAATATAACGCAGCGAATGCGCCAAGCAGTATAAACGCGGCTGAAATACGATATTTAATAAAATCTTGAATGTGCCGTATGATTTAATTATGTTTTAGGATTTACAAATGCTTTGTCATTTGTATTTATACTTGTACTGCATCACAAGGCAGTACGTAAGTGAACAAATTCCACATGTGAGATTGTCTTGTATATATTTTTGCTTTCTTTGATAAACATTAGTAATTAAACACGCAAACTTTAATTAGTGAGACGCAATGTTAAATGTCACTTGCATGTCATTGTCATTGACCTTTAACGCCTGGTCTAATTGGCCGCTTTTGAAAATGTTGCCATGACGAACCGCACTGCCTTAATTATGCAAACTTTGTGTTTTAAAAACGGGTAGGATAAAACGCGGATACGGATGGACGGATGAATGACGGACGGACCGGACGGATGACATATATATGTCATTATATAGTCTGCGCGCAGCCGCGCAGGGTAGTTAGTGGCTTACTTCTTCGCTGGTTGTTATACTTTAAAATAATTTTGTATATACCGAGAAATCAAACTGGGATGTTACACTGATAGCTTGTTGACATTTCCTAGAGCATCAAATATTATGTTTAACCACGGTGGTTTAACCCATTAGCTGGCAATGCGCCCTTCCCTTGTCCAGCGCCAGAAGATTTTACTCGTCAGTGGTATAGGGTACTGCCAGTAAATGGGTTAACAAACCTATCTGCCAATGTCTCTTGTTAATCCATCAGCACAGTAATGACCCCTACTTTAGTGTTTACCCTGTCCAACGCCAGACGATTTTTAATACTCAGTCAGTGGTAGGGTACTGTCAGTAAATGGGTTAACCTGCAAGGATAACAATTATAGGATGTTTCTGAAGGACTCGTTCAACACCTTGTAGTTTGTCTTTTGCTGTAGAAGGCAGCATTACTGCCCTGTGGGTAACCTAGTTATAGACTTTACGCGATGTCGCGATTGTTCGCAGAAGAAATATATAGAGTGAAGATGAAAACGAAATCAATAAAAGTTACGACGAATGATCGGTAACTTTTTAACTGAAAAATTGAAATAAAAATGACTATACTTTCCGCTGTCCCCTCCTCCACTTCTCATAATGTAGGTGGGGGTCTTTTCTCACTATTAGACGACCGGCCAAGCTTTAACTGAAAAGTGTCTAGGAAACACTGTCGATGATATTTTTTGTTACAAGCATTAAACTATGCAAAATATTACGTACCGGATAGTGCTTATTTTGAAAGTGAGAGTTGTTGTCAACCGTAATTTTTTATTTATGTGCTAAAATTTGAAGGCGGTATTTCCTAGAACATTTCGATGGATGGGACTTCTCTCAAGTGCTGTATTTCATATCAGTGACAGTGTTTTATTTAATTGGCTGATCACCATCTATAATTAACATGTGTGTAGTTCGGGTTATCTTCATTTGCATATTTCAAAATGATATACAAAGTAACATGGCCCCCCAAATACATAAAAAATACTACATTGCTAATTAAATAGTCAGTCAATTATACTAGAATTGTAATATCGAGTACTACATTCCACAGCAATCCCATGCATCATCAAAAAGTCGTTATGGGACAAAAATCGGGAAGGCACCAACTATCCCTTTCAAAGTGAACACATCCGGATGAAAATTTATGTGGTTTTTTTGCTTGTAACGAAAAATTCCAAATTTGCCGGTAATTGACCGATTCGAAAACTAGCTACAACCATTTTCATTATTTTATATTTTTGCGGCATTACCATGCAGGCTAATATATATTTTACAACAAAGACTAATTTTTAGGCAAAGTGTAAAAGTGTATAAGATTGAAAAAAATCTATGTAGCTAAGTGAAATTATAGCTAAATCTGAACTGATAAAAACTGATTAACCTTGGGTATTTTAAGATTTAATTTCTCGAAGAGAATACATGCATGGTAAACAGGTGGGAAATTTGTCTGAGCATGCACGAGCAAAATGAGCCACGCAATTGCCTTTACAAAAAGGCGCAATTGTGTAAATATTGCCAAATGTTTGGTGCAAAATAAATGACTGTTTTATGTTGAAAATGGACATGACACACGTTTTTTAGTGACGTTCTATTTCAGTACTCTGCCATTGTCTCTGGTGTGCTGTCCGTGTGCATTCGATCTGAAACAGTTGCTACTTTGCTGTCGAAACATTAAAATGAAAATAGAGACAAGTCATGCATTTTACAACCTCGAAAACTGTATGAGCCCCTATTTTTACGCTTATACCTAAGGGACCGGTCATTATTTATGGAAGGGGAACAAGTGGGGCCATATGTATAAATAAAATGACTGGAAGGGGGGGGCTATTAATTTTTTTCAAGAAAATGAAGGGGGGGGAGTTGCAATTAAATTTGAAGGAATTTGCTTAATAAGCGTGGTCTGTGGCGTGGTACCATTTGGTTGTAAATGTCGCAACTAAATCATGGTCACTGATGTGAAATAGTCTGGATTTATCTTGTCTTTTGTGTGCTGTATGCAAATCAGTCCTCACTGATGTGGTTAAATACATTTAAGCAAGGTTAGTGGCGGATGTATTATGCAGGGGAAAGGATGTATTATGAGGGGAGTCTGTGACATCATATCGATCAAAGGGGGTTGTTTCGTGCATTGTGATTAGTGCTTCGGTCTGGGTATTCATTCTGCCATTGTATGCTTTGCCTAGCTGCAGCAAGTTTAGCGCTTCGATACCTTTACCCCACCCATCCATGTTTATTCTAGAGGATTTTATCTGGTAGTATGTCATTTTATTTTATATAATTTTTAATCTCACATAAAATAGGATGTATAGACCACTATACATTGTATTTCGTTCCCACTGACTTGTCAGTGTGACTGGTGCCGGAAGTTATCTCCTTTTGCTGCTAATATTACTGATTGTTACTTTCATTGTTGCTGCGCAGCTGCTATGGCAATACTTCGTGCCATCAAGTCTAGTTGCAGCCTTGGACCACAAACGGCACCTTCCTCCAAACACTAATACTCTGCCGTTAAACATGGTTACAATCGCCCAGACCAAATGGAAACCTGATTTTAGTGTTATATATAAAAATACTCCTCTTTTAATTATAATTTTCTGCTAATATATATTTTTGGTCTACGTTAAAATCAGTCAGTTCCATATTCTTATTTAATAATTAACACTATAACGCCTTATTTGATGAGTAAAAATAAAATTGGGGGGGGGGGGTTAAAGAAAAATATTCTAATATGCAGGGGGGTCATCATTAAATTTCTGCTCTTTTAAGGCGTGCTTTCACTTTAGAAAAGAAAAAATTCCCCTTACCCCCCTTCCATAAATAATGACCGGCCCTAAGCGAGACTTGGTAAGCGAGATCTTGCTGTGCAGTTATTTCTATAGTAAAAATTATTGTGTATTTATCAGTCTGCTTGCTGAGATATCGCTTGATAGAGGCAAGTGATCGCTTACAGGGATGAAAATTTCCCCATAAAACACTCACAAGCGGGCTGACCCGGTTGCCAGGATGAAAGTTCAAAGATGCCGCTGCAAGTTATTTTCACAACTGTGCAACACAACAGTTCGGCTTCCATATAAGCAGCCCCTTAGTAATCAAAGACTTGGCAAAACAGAGACTGACTGTAAGTTATACAAACAAATCAACTCACAATATCATTTTGTAAACATGATATTAGAAAATTATTATGCTAAGTATGCATCATATGGTATTTAATTTGCATGTTTTTTATATGAACAGTATATATTATAGCTAATAAACTTAACGTACTGAAACAGTTTTGGTAACATTAGAAAGTGAAAAATAGTTTAAAGTTGATTGTCCAGGGCATGTAGCCATGTAAAAGCCATTTGGCCCATTAGATGCTTTATACACATGTATTGATGTTTCTAAATAATGCATCTGCCATGTATGTATGTTATAATATAAAAAGTGAGTATATTCATAGAAAGTGAACTCTTTGTAATTGAAATTCCAATTAGCATTTTCTTATCAACAACCAATTGTATTTAATTCCAAAGGGTTCACTTTTTACAATATACTACCTTTCGTTGGTTAAACTATAAGTTTGTTACATTATTCGAATGACAAATTTGCTTTGTGTTGTTTTTTTCTGTCTTCCTTAATTCAATCTGTAACGATCACACACAAGTCTCCTGTGCAAATAATGCAATCTGAAGATATTCTTGGGTTTCATATGATCAGACGTCACACTCGCTCTCGTCACACTCGCTCGCAGGCTATGTCGATCAAGGGTTGAAAGGACTTTAATCCCCCACGTTGACCCCCACTTGAATTCTTTGCATAAAAGGGCACAAAAGAGAAATTGTACCTTGATGCATTTCATACATTATCTGTATTTTAAGCAGGAAATTAAACGTCTAAAAATTGAACTTCTAAGATACGTCGTAATTGAGCTTTGAGCGAATATTACGTGACATACAAAATATTCCTCTTAATTAGTACGACGCATTATGTACTGTATAAGTAAACAGGCTGGAAATAAAAGGTCACCAAACATACTAAAAACATCAGAAAAATTATAGCTCGATGTACTGCACGTATTAAAACACCTTGAAAATAAAAAGGCTAAGCAGTTTTGGTAAGATAATTTTGATTGACATTGATATTGCAAGTTAACTAAGGAAGTTGATTAATCAATTTGCCCACCAAGGCACCAACATATGCTAAAAAGTAGCACTTGCAGGTTCAAATTGTACATTTACCACTTATAGTATTCTGTTATAATTACTTGTTCACTAACAAATATCTGCGAACTAGCTATCTAGGTAAACCGTCAACACCTATAGACTCCTAATCATTTTGTTTCAAACAGCACTCTTAGAGAAAAATTGTGTTGTTGTTGGTGTACAAAAAGTTTAACAAACCTCCTAAAATGCAGTGCCAATGGAGCAAAGAAATACTGCCACAGCTTTTTTTTAATATTCAGGACTGCAGGTCATATCTTGGATGTTTTTAGTACCTGTTGAATATGTTAGGCAATGTCCCCCACCAATATATTTAAGATTACCTTACATAAAACTGCACATATAACTGTACAGCATAATCAAAATTCGGCTCTTAAAGGAGAAATGAAAAACATGAGTGAATCTTGTAATAAATACTCCTCATGTAATATATAAAAATGACAGATTAACAGGTTCTTGACCATTTAAATTAAAGTCCACAGACTGCCCAATGCACTGTATCATACAACGACTCCCATCTTTCAAACACACCAACAAATCAACCCAGCCTTTAATACTACCATAACATATAACATCAAAAACACATGCGATGTTACGCAGAACTCGGAATTTTAATGATGATATGCAATAGTATTAGCAATAGACTTCCTTCCCACGCAAATAAGTATTTTATTGCCTTGCCATCTTCCTGGTAAAAAAAATTGCTGCATGTAACTCGTTCTATTCTTTATGTCTCGTTTACACTGGTGACCCTTGGTAGTCGCGTTCTACTCACGTTGCCTGCGAACAAGTATATTTGAAGCAAAAGCAATCAAACAGTACAATCATTTGCATTCAGCAAAAGGACAGAGTCGCTAACAAAAGTCACCATATTAGATCAGTGTCACCACCACGTAAAACTTAAGCAAGTGCTAAGCACCGCATTACTGTGAGCAGAGCTTTTACCCAGATGTTTCTTCCAAGGATAAATGAAGTCAAATGTTAATTGTGATCACCAAAAATTAATGTCTGTAATGGCCGCAATTGTAAACGACATACCAACGATCTGCAACTATCTAGGTTGTTGTAATTAATCGGAATTAACTTCAATTTCGTACTTTGGTTAATAATTAATAAAACTGTTATGCGGCTCTTAACACTTGCTTTAGAAATCCAATAGACCCTTTTGATAATTACGTCATGTATCTCGTTGTGGCCTGCATGGAAGCAACATTCGCATAATAATATAAGCGAGGCCAACATTCTCGAGATATGTGACGTAATTATCGAAAGGGTCTATTGCAGTACAGAAGTTAAATAAGTTTCTTACATTTCACGATGCAGTCTTTGATCTTCTTCCTCGTTCCATGGTCACAAAATCTACAAAATTTGTCTGATATGTCCTTATCTAAACCACAATTGCAAAAGTTTGGGTCTTTATTAAAGACCCGCTTTGGGATATACGAAGCTGGAGTATTGGAAAGGCTATTGCTGATGTTAGGGGCATAACCGTGAACTCGTAGCCAATACAATATACAATATGATTTATTAGTTAATCCCCATAAGGGCTTTTCATAACTAATTTACAAAGAAGTGTAGTAATATGATATTTACATGCAATTATTTAGAACTTATGTTAAAAAGATAGATTGTCTGTAGCTAAACTAGAATTACTGTATATTACGAGGACTATTAAAAATTAATTCTGTCTATTGATTAACTCTGTTCGTACGGCCTTCTTAAATCCTCCTAGAGTTGAAATGTTTCGAGTCGAAAGATCAAATGAGTTCCACAGCAGTGCTGCATGATTAAAAAAGGATCGCTTAGCTTTAGATGTTCTACATCGTAATATGTTTAAGTCATTTGCCTGCCTAGTAAAGTGATTATGAACTTGCGAACGGATTACTAGCTTGGAACTAAGGTAGGCAGGTGCAAGACCATGAACTATTTTATACATCATAATAGCATTACGGTACAATAGAGAGTCGTTCACTGACAACCATCCCAGCTTATCTAAAGCCGGGGTGATGTGATCATACTTTCAAGTTCCGGTTACGATTCGTGCTGCAAAGTTCTGTACTTGTTGTAGTTTCTTAACGTTCTTTTGGGTGGTGCCAGACCAAACCGAGGAGCAATAATAAAGTTTGCTAAATACTAGGCAGTTTATCATGACCAACAAGGCATTCTTGTTGAACAAGTGTCGAACTCTGTTGATTTGACACAGACTTGATGTTAGGGTCGACGTCAATGAATTGATATGATTGTCAAATGTCAGAGTGGCATCTAAAGTGAGACCAAGGTCTTTACAAACTCTGACAGGTGTTAATATTTTTCCTAGAAAAGGAATTGATAAGTTTGGCAGGTTCTTTATCGCTTTCTCCATTCCAAATATCACAAACTCTGTCTTCAAGGGATTCATTAGAAGCTTATTAGAACAACACCATTCTGCTATATTTCTGAGATATTGGGAAAGGCTAACAGGCCAAGGTTGGCTTCTGATAAGGAAAATGATATAAACGTCTTTGTGTCGTCAACATACGATTCTACGTAACAATTCGAAACAACTTTGGGTTGCCAAATCAGAGAAATGTATTCATGATGGAATACCTGCTCCCATCGACATGCATGCATTGTATGTGCCGCATACTTAGCTATTGCAATATGCTTAGCTTCTCTTCCTTCCATCGAATTTAAGCCAAGGCCCATTCCATAAGCCTGCTTCATCTCCTTCGTGTGCTCCGGAATAACCTGGCCTAGTGTCCAAACAGTCGGATTAACAGAACGAAACAACCAATATCCTCGATAGTACTCTTGGCAATGGTTTTCCAGCTCTTGCACCTGTTGATCATCTGTTATGCTAACTTGACTGAATAATGAAACAGCATTTCGCAAGCAAAGGCAGATATAAGCGTGAATATGAAGTATCTAGGATTTGTCCAGAAAATTTTTTTCCTCCAGCAAATCAACTAGCAACATGAAATTGTATAAAAACATATGTGAATCCTTACCAGTAAATCGATATTCAAAATCCTTCCCACAGTTACCACAATCATTATACCACCTGATTATTCTCTTAGCCAACCTGTTCAACTTACATTTTCCTCTAAGAGTTTCAACATATTTAAAAAACGGAGTGTTTGGCGGAACCTGTTTAAAAGATGAAAGAGTTTAGATTTGAGGTGCTGACTGCTAATTTTAAAAGATAACGGTGTGCTAGAGCACATGCATTATTTTTTAAATGTAGCGGATCAACATGGGCTCGATCAATCATTTCACCAACTAATGGTATAAATTCTTGTCGGCTACCCTGCTGGCCAATGAACACAGTAATGTTTGATCTCTTGGTTTTCTCCAACACATTCTTCCGGTTGAACGTCTGTTTAAATTTCTCCACCACTTTCGCAACTTTAACCTGGTGAGAATACTTCCAGGGTTTCCACGTATCCGAGGACTTACGACCAAATGTTGCTGTACCATTGGCTGAAATTGATTTGCTGTCAACATCTGCAAATGTAGAAAAAAAAGTTGTGCTATTGCTTAGCTCTCCTGCTAAGAATGATAGCATTTTCATGTCGTTGGGGAGCTCTGCAAAAACAAATCTAACATTAATAGCCTTTCCTTTGCATGCAATAGAGTACGAGGTGGTCTGGACTTTGTTGATGTCGAGCATCAACTGATTAAAAAAACGCTTCACAGGCAAACAGTTTTCTGAACAGTTTGCCCCAAAAAGAAGAAAGTTTTCATTGCTGCTCAAGACGCCGTGCCCAATGTTCAGGAAGCTTACAAGCCAAGAGCAAGCTGTGTCATCTTTCCATACCATCGTACCATCGCCACCTAGAGCAACATAAAAAGTGTTAGCTTCGTCAAGTGTGACCTGGAATTGGCTATGATTAACAACTTTACCAGTAGATCTTCAATATCACAATAACAACCATTAACCTTTTCACTCTCCTCCAACCCAACACAAAACCTCTCGCCAACACTATACAACTTACCAATGTCTACAGACTTAATGTAAGCCATCAACCTGTGGTAGGGAACAAGCCGGGGGGCAGGACAGTTGGCGACCTTAATACGCACAGCCCCTTTCTTACCAGGCACTCACATATATGAACTACTTTCATATACTGATTTATACTCTCCTTACCCATTACTCTCCTATTATAGTAAACTGATATAGACCTAAGCATATTTGAATTAGACTGTTCAAACAACTTTACATCTTCTTTATAGATCTTCGGGAACAGCTTCTCTTTAAATAACTTGCTCTTCTTTACTCCATCAACACATCGTTTTCCTTGCATTTCCTTTCCAGGGACTCCAACAGTCCAACAGTTCCAGGTTTCAAATTCTCTGAACAACCCCCATGTATTCCACCAACTGCTAGTATTGTCTAATTTCACTGTTGTCTTCCAGCTTTCATTCCACATTCAGCCGACCCTGTAAATTAAGCATTTATTTCTGTTAATTTACTTAAAACATTGCTAGCTTCATGCTCGCAACAAGATCGTGGTCAAAACTAACAGGGGGGGGGGGGGTTAAGGGCCAGATTTGCGCTGCTATCATGGGCATTGACCTGTGTATCCAAAGATTGTATACTAAAATTATGAAAGTATTGCAACATTTGATTGTTGTGCAGTTTTAAAGAGAATAGTACGTAAGATTTGGTTGAACTAGTGATATTTAGAGTCTCTAGATTTGTTGGAAACAATAATTTCAATGTTGTAAACTTGACTTGTATTGCATTGTAAAAATTTAATTTAATCAACACTGTATAATGGCCATGCAGACTGATCTCCCACACACTGCTACAGCCTGTTTGATTGCCCTGCCAAATTGAAATTTCTGAATATTGGGGGGGGGGGGTACACTCACTCCTATGCCCCCCTTAAGTTTTGCCCCTGAACGAAATACTGTAACACATCATTCAATTAAATACATGAAGCATTACAACACCTGTTGGCTTGCATTTCCTCCTTTTAACTGCTGATTTGCTAATTGTAAAATTTTCCTGATAATTTGACTCTTCTAGTGGTAGTACTCTATGATCCTGCCTACTACTATCTTCCTGTTCCATAAGCTCTTCTCTGATATTGTCTAAACATTTTACCTCATTAACTAGCTTTTATACCTACACGAAAGTCACTGAACTGTGGAACTGCATCAAAAATTTGTATATCGGCCACTCCGACAAATGTCTACAACTATGTTTGCATGTTTACAATTCTAATTTTAAACAGCTAATTTGGTTCTTGGTAACAACTACAACTACAATTAAACGTCAATTGGCTGTTTAAAATTAGAATTGTAAACATGTAGGTGCGGATGTAGATGTTTGTGGGAGATGCCAACACACAAATTTTTTATGCAATTCCACAGTTTGGTGACTTTCGTAATACCTTTTCACGACAAAGTTAAAATTAACAAATGTACTTTAGTATACAAGAGCCTGCATGATCAAGCTCCGCAGTATATTAAGAACTTATTTAAAACAAACAATGATATTAATGGTAGACAAACTCGTCATGGCAAATATAATTTAGTGTGTCCTAAATAATACTTAATGCAACTGAGCCTGAGGGTCAGCGGCATTAAAATATGGAAAAATCCGAAAGGATATTAAGATGAAATCTAGCGTTAATTCCTTTAAATTTGCCCTTAAGAACTATTTCTTAGAATCATATAATAATTATCAAACTATTTCTTAGAATTATAAATCATATTTTGGAATCAAGGGTATCGATCGTTTTGAATTATTATTGTGATCAGTAAATTGTATATAATATGTATATATCAATTTATAATCCTGAGATGTTTTATATATTTTTCTTACTTAATACACTCTTAAGTCGTTCGTTCGTCAGCTCAATTAATGTAAGTTGCCCATAGCTATTAATTCCAGGTGTTCGAGTTTGCATGTTTTAGTATTCCAGATTTTAGAGATTCGATATGTTCCCCGATTCCCCATTCTGGGTGGTACTGTACATGTAGAAATAGCTAGGCTCTGGTTATAATCCCTCTATATACAGAGTTGACATGTACAGTTCCCCTTGAATAATCTTATGTCAGGCAGAGCAAAAAATAAACTAGGATGATGAATTGCTGGCTTAAAGTGGTTTCCTCAGAGAAGATACAAAGATCATCCGATCTAGTTAAGTGTCAATATGCAGGCATGCCTAATAATAATAGGCTGTGTTTAATAATATCAGACAAGGAAAAATATAAATACACTATGATCTTTGCTCAAAAACAAATCAAAACAATGCAGGATTTTCCAGAGAAATACAAAGACCTTTTGGCTCTACCCAAATGAATTAGTTCACTTATATTTTTGACCTGAAACTCTTCATTTCAATAATAGGCATTGAGTATAGGTGAAGGACTACAGGCATCGCACATAAAATGTGTTTGTATTCTTCTCAGGACATAAGTTTAATACGATATCAGACGATAAATAGCCTAGAATATAAACAACTAATGAAATTAAGCCGAAACAAATTCAAAATATTTGTGTCTTTCTTCCATTTGGTCGTTAGTTGTCGCTAGCATGACAAGCAGTAGATGTGAAATAGTCTAATATAATAATAATAGTCTTTTTGTGTGTGATATGCGAATCAGTCTTAATGATTGCAGAGTTTTATAACGTTTTATTGACACTCTATTACCTCAGCCAGTTGTCATGCCAGTGACAACTAACGACAAAAGGGAAACTAGGCTTAACACTATCTTTTTACACCATGGGCATAGACCTCGCCACAGACACATGGATGAGAAAAGCCATCGACAAAGAGAAAGGAATATTCATGATGGAATTTCATGAAAGGAATATCCGATGAGGTGTTTACCTATCCGTTTCGACCATGGGACGTGCGAAAACACACGAGAACAGGTCACACTGGAGCTTACGATGAATACAGAGAAATTCTCAACACACCAATGGATCTAAATCTAGCATGGATTCCTAGAAAGCTCAGCGCCGTTGGATGGTGATGACGCAGTTGGAGCAGTGCCAGCCAGCGAAACAACGGACAACTTCTACCTAAGGATGGTTCCTTCCAAGCTCTACTGGGAACGCAGGTGTTCTGTCACGCAAAGTACCATACCAGGCCCTGGCGTCTTTGTCGAACCAAACCAAACAAGACAGAACATCTGTGCATCTATGCTGAGCAAAGTACAACGATCGACGAAATTACTGTGAGTGGTATACGTTCACACATATACGCCATTTTTCCTTGAGAAAGAAGCTCTGGTTGGACACAGGAATTGAAATGGGAAATCACATTCGACGGTTTGCGAAGCAGCCAATGTTTTCTTAGAAGCTCTTCTTAACCTCAAAGAATTGGAAAGAGAAGGCCATGCTAAGATCAACGGTAGCAACTGGAGGAACATAGAACACAGACTGGATGAGAAAGGCAATGCATACTCTGTGTTTGCTAGTTTGCTAGGTAAAAAAAATGGCCAAATTTTGATCCGATCATGATTTTAGAGTTGGTCAAAACACAAACAACGTCTAATCTGTAAGTTGTTATCTCAGCCTTGTCATGTGACCATTTTTCTCCACAGACCTGCTAATTAACAGGCAATTCCTTTAAAGCTGGTTGATATTAAGTACTAACTCATTAACGCCCAATGCGCCCTGAGATTGACAAGTGGGTAACAGACAATGCGCCCTCAAATGACACCTCAACTTGCGGGCATGATATTTGAGCACGTGTTTATCGGGTTGCCTAGCAACGGATACGAAAATAGAACGTGAAATTCGAGCTTTTCAACGGTGTGTCATGCAAGAAAATTGGTCAGAAACTCGCAAAGTTTTTCAAGTTTAAAACCTTAGTTTTTCAAAAATAATGAATAATGGAGATATTGTTGCAAAGATGGATTTTACAGCAAGTTTTAAAAGCGAAAAAAGAAGAGGTTTTTGGATAATATACAACGGAAATTTGGCATGAAAGGGAAGCGAATGTGTTTAAATTTTGGGCCAAGTTCTTCTGTGAACCTTGCGCAAGATTTTCAGCCAAAAAGATGATGATTTCTCCAAACTTTATTAAAAATAGAAGTCGGAAATCACGAGAAAGATGAACACGGAACACAAGTGAGCAGATACGATTTTTTAAAGGGTATATTTGAGTAGAAATATGCGATCAAACACTCGCAAAATTCGACCGCATTAATGTTGGTTGAATCTAGTTTAAAGTTATCTTTTTAGACGAACTGTTCATGCAAATTTGGGCACAATTTCGACTGTTTTCGTGACCCCATTGTTGGTCTTCTTGTTCAAGTTGTTATTTTAGCTAAAGTATGTTTCAAACGACACCAGATTGTGCGTACGTGACCTTTTTGGCAAGAATACTTTGAGTATTAAATTACTAAATAAGTAGGATATTCCAAAGTCACTGTTATATCTATTTTCATCAATTTAGTCTTAAAATGACAACTCGTTTCAGACATATTGTGGTTTAAAATAAGTGTATTGAATAAATGCACTTGCTTGCCGCGTGCGAATTCTCAAAAAGTCCGCACTTGAGTTGTAAAGCTTTCAAAATGCTTTTTTACTGGTTTTTTATATCCCCTATAAAACTTTAAATCGATAAAGCAGATAATAATGTTGATGAAACATCATTTTCTAGTAACTACACATCAGAAGAAAAAGTTATCAAAATAGGTCGCAACGGTTGTTTGGCAAAATGTCTGAAATGGCTTCCTTTGCGGGAAGCCATGAAATTGCAGTCCTAACAAAAAGTAACCTTAGCAGTTCTTTTGGGCCCATTGCTCACTTATTTATCATGGAAAACTTTGTAATTTTCTGAACTAAAAGTTTATGGTTTCGAGGTGTTTATTTTGTAAAATAGCACACGCGCGACAAAATGGCACTTTTGTGGTTTCTCACATCTGACAAACAATCAAACATGAAAGTCCTTATTTCACCTTTTGAAAATAAGATCAAAGATGAAAGTCCCTATTTCAGCCATATTGAAAATAAGTAGATTCTAGTACCATATGTCCTTATAAATATATTTGAAGTAATTAAAAACTTGAAAGATGTACAAGCACTGTGTTTTGGCTTGCACACTTTGTTGAATTTGAACACTTAGTTACTGTTCTAAATTTCATGTTGTAAACATCTTGCCCAAAAAAGCAAAGGAGTATATTTTATAATTTTTGATCATTTTCTAATTCATATCCCAATAGATGAAAATTGGTTATAAAATAGATATGTACTAATTTAGTGAATAATTTTTTTTTTGTTTTTATATAAATTTATGGAGATATTGCCCCTTTAGGTGATGAGTGACATGAAAAACTAAGTGTCACTGCTTTACAAATAAAAATTCTCA